TGAAAATAGTATAATTAATCATCGAAATATCCACTGTCTACACGAATTTGGATATTAATTTTAATTTTATTATTCTTGTCATTCGATAGTTTACCTCGGTGTTCCACTGTTGAATGAAATATAAGAACTGTCTGTGCGAATCTCTCCAATAACCTGTATCTGATATCCTCCGCGTAATAAAATTATGATCAGATAGCCGCGTCGAGACATTCGTCTCAATCATGCTTCGTAGAAGATTGACGAGCGCGTAGGTACTTTCGATCTCTTTCATCTGATGCCTCGTAATTAATTCTCACTGAAATAACAATTGCTTTTGTTCTATAGTAGACTGAAGTGTGCTCTTCGAAGATATTACATCGTTTTCATAAATCATCGCACGATAAGGAAATATTTAAAGCTGATAATGATGTCGTTTTTACGTGTTGCAGTTGGAGGAAGGTGAAGAAGCATTTGTCTACTGGAAACTTATCTCGAACGCTCTTTATGCTTTTGATTGTTGCTCAGAAAGCCTTGATCACAATATTGGCTTTCGGGCAATAATCATAATCACGAAAGGGCAGAGCCCCAACTGTCTGTTGCTAATGGCACCTGTTACTTCAAGGGATCGACGCAGTTTTGAATTCTTCTTCAGCGACTGTGGATTACTGAAAAATTAAAATATAAATTGTTTTCTTTATTAAGTAGTGAAAAATGGGAATATTTGAATTATTGTACAAATAATGTTGTTTCAATATATTACTATTGTAGGATCAATCGTGATTCACCCTTAGGATTAAACTTGTTAACAAAAGGCTTTTAAATATTGGAAAAATAATATCTATTTTAGTTTTATAAAAAGTGTCTAAAGGTTAAAGCGTTAAGTAATAAATTCTATTTATATTATTATCACAAATGTCAACTATTGTAATTTATATTTCTTCAACCATATCCCCAATATTGTACAGAACTAATAATACTCTTAGAAACCATTGAATATCAGATTAAAATAAATATAGTAAAAAGTATTACAAGAGGAATCGATTCAACCCCGAACCATTTACGTTAAAAAAACAAAGTACTCGTGATTGATGCATTTACCATGGAGCTACCTTTAAATAAAACCATCCGGAAGAAAAAGCTTTCACGATACTACACTTTATTCAATTCCATCCGTAATACTCCACCAACCTCTTATAATATCCTCAATCGTATTAAATTATTCCTTTGAAATTATAATTGCACACTTGACTTCTCAGATAGCTGACTAATTGTTGCTCGAACGATCGATCGAGTGATGTGCTTACTTTTAATTGTACCTTCACTGATAACTGTACTTCTGATTATAAACGATCGTTTATCTCGTCCATTCATCGTTTAAAACTTGATTCATTTTTTATCTTTAATTGCTCACCAGTGTGACTTATAAATAAATTTTAATATACGAATAATACAAGGCTTATATTTCTAAATTATTTTACTGAATGGAATAATAGTACCATTTCAAACTTGGTGCCTAACACCGTTTATAGAATGGTACTTATATTAAATTTCCAAAATCTACATTTACATTCTCCAAGTTTTATTGATCCTTGTGTGAAGGAACTGAGATCTTATTAACCCAGGATGTAATTTAGGGTATAAATTTAATTTAAAATTTATTCTCATCTTCCAAATTCTATAGCTACTATTTTCCCAATTTTCTATTTAGAAATTTTTATTTAATTTTCATTCTCATTTTCCAAATTCTATAGCTACTATTTTTCCAATTTTCTATTTAGAAACCAGAGTGCTAAATTAATTTTATTTCCAAAATTTAGAAAATCTCGAATCGAAGAAATTCTAATTATAATTGCATCCTACCGCAATAAAAAGTCTCTGGGTAACATTTATCAGATTTTAGTCGACTACGGATGCGATCAAGACGCGAGGGCGATACAGTTCATAAAAGATTCAACGTTAATTACCGAAGATGACCCGGCTGGAAATCCGGTTTTTATATCCTAGAGAGCACAGATCCGTGCTAACTGTATAAATCCACGAAAAGTTTCTTCCCGATACTTCCTTCATCCTTCCCGGAGGAGAGTAACGGCGCCGTGACGTTTGGCCGGCATCGATGGTAACAGGTAGCGACGGCCGGTGTTTCCTCAAAAACTGCCAAAAACTCGAGGCAACGAGGGTCGACAGGTGGAGGAACGAACGAGGATAGACGGTGAGAAATTCGTGAGCCGCGAGACGGGTCAGGCAACGATGCATTATTTAAATTTTAAAAGCATTTCGGAGTGCCGGCTTAATTCGACGTCTAGTTAGCCCATACCCTCCCCCTACACCGTGGACAACAAACAACCGTCGAAGAGTAAATTCGTATACAGAACATTCCACTTGTCACCCCTCTTTCGTGTACCTCTATTATCACCGTGATTAGCTGCATTCAATTTTATACTGACATGTATAAACGGTGGATATCGTTGAGATTTTAAGTGTTATATAAAATGAAATAAACTTTTCTTACACAAGAGAAATTTCAGTTTGGAAATTCTTTCAAAAATATGGCTCCATTCGAACAGGGCTAATTAAATTGTTACTTCCTCTAACGAAAAGTACTTTGATAAATTGTAAAATGTACACCTTTGCTAATGCAAAAACAGCGTCCTTTTAAATTCCTCGACAGACCTGATAATCTGTCGTCCTCCGGAATCCGTGGAAATGTAATCCCTTGATAATACTCCGACTGACGTGTGCTGAAACACAAAGTACTGTACCGAATCTCAGATTCTTTTCCACGCATATTCTCTATCTAAACTTTAAAAAATCAATATTTTGTGCAATAATAAGAGCCCAAGATAAATAACATAATTTAATTTAATTTCGTCTAATGTGATGGGTATTATTTCTTTTTTCATTCGACACCTATCGTACCGAAGGCTCTCAATAAACTGCGACACCGACCACCGAGATGGATATGTTGAAAACAATTTTTTCCCGGTTATAAATCTATGTAACGTACGCTAGCTCGATGGCAGTCCATATTTATATAGTCAGAGAGGTTGACAGATCGACGTTCGGTCGCGCCTCGTTCGCCTTGTGCCGATGAATATTTCAGTCAGCTCTGGCTTCAGCTGTCAGTCCGCGGGACAGGATGCGCGAGAAAGAGAGAAAGGGTGGAAACTGACGAATGGGGCGAAGGGGGTGAAATCGCTTCTATGTATAGAGACGTATGGCCCGACGAACTTTCGACCTGAAATGACCCGAGCTAGATGCAGACGCCTCCGCGAGTTTGCCACCTTCCGCGATGGAAAACCTCCCCCTTAACCTGCTACCAGCTAATCATCGGTTTAATCCAGGATACCAGACGTATCTCTATGAATAACAGGGAATTATGTATTCAAACTTCCACCGATCAGCTTTACCGCCTTTTTATAAAAAGAAAGGTAATTATGTAAAATTAGCTTATGTAAAATTTAGAAGTAATAAGTATAAAGGTGAAATTGTTGAAAATTAATAAGATTTATGAAATTACAGGTACCCTTCCATCAAACGCCATATTTGGAACATCAGAGACGCTTCCAAGTCATTAGAAGGACGTCCATATCTGAAAACAAAATTGGTATATTAGTTAAAAAATATTTACAATGATTTTCCATTAAGACTTATATTAAATTTAGTAGATTCGCCCCTGGCCCTAGGCAGACTAGGCGGCCCCCTAGGGCCCCCCAAGGTCCAAGGCCCCCATACGACGATTTTGCGTCTAATTGTAAGAATGTTTATTACTTGATTAGTGTTGGCCCTGGATCAAACTGAAAAAAAGTGAAACTAAATTTAAATTGTTTTAATTTCAAGGGTTCGCCATCAGGGGGTTGATTAAAATTATTGTTATCCTCTCTATGTTATACTACCTTGTTATTTATATTGGAAGTTAAATTTGCCACATTCGGCAGGTCCGTATTAATAGAATCTTATAAAGTAATGAAACTGATTTTGCAGGATATCCATATGGGGAATTAAATTAAGGGTAACTGCAAACGTCAACTCACGCTTCTCGTGAATATTCATGTACCACACGAAAGGATCGTTAAACTCAGGAATCGAGTTTATAAAGTGCCTTTTTTACTGCCTCTCTTTACGGCTTTAAAAAGAAACGTTTCGTACAATGGTCGTTAAATAATTCAATATCTTATTTCACGTCAAATTTGTATCTTTTTTAAGCTCGATAAATTAAATTTTCTTCCTTATAGATAAGAGATGAATTCGTTATCGAAATTTCGTTTCGAAAATATTTGATAAGAATTGATAAAATTAGCTACGCTAATATTTGTTTCATTTCTACTAATTATTATACATATATTTGTTTTTAATTAATAATTCAAATACACTGCAGTTGAATATACCTTCTTTTCGTCATTAACATTGTATCCAAAAATATTAAAATAATTTGTTAAATTAAGAAAAGGAGAGATTTTACAAAGAGAAGCGTATTTTTGGTCGACAACACACTGATAAGATACAACACACAGTGATGCACGTAGTTGCAGCCTGTGTATAAACTCGTTACATCGTTATAATGGTAAAAATTGTTATTTATTTTGTAATATATACTACTTCTTGTCACGTTCTGCAATGCATTTGACAAACATTTGTTGTTACGTTACAGAAAAGTTAGAAATTTTGTAATGTTTTCAACAAAATTGACATTTTGTATCAGGAGTTCATGTGATTCGAAGAGGTATTCTTTTGTTTTGCGCAAAAACGCATTCTAAGATTCGCGCGATTTTTGTTTCCTATCGTTCGGAAATTCAAATACCGTGCCCATTTCTGCATTTCAGACAGTACGAAATTTCTAACATCGATTCTAATCAATTTCCAATGCTATTTCGACATTTTATTTCACATTGAAACCCAAAATAAATTAAAAAAAGAATGTGAATAATGATTAGAAATGCGAGAAATAAAGCTCATCAATTTTATTAAATGTTTCACAGATATTATAGGGCATAGTCTATTGTACCGCGGGAACACGTGGAATTAGTTTGACATTAGTCACGTGCATAATCACGTGTTCAAATATTTTGTATGTAAGTTACAACGTGAATTATCTACGTAAAACTCGACATGAATACCGATAGTGAATCAGATTTACAAAAGCTTTTTTTAGAGTCATTAGCTAACGATAATGTCTTTATGATAGCAACAACTGTTGACACAGGTAGATTCACTTTTCTCATTAAAATCTAAAGCACGTGTTATTCTAAGTAACCTATAAATTGTAATTTTACAGGTTTCGAATGGCAAGCAGTGGATGAATGCAAAGAAAAGCTGGATAAAAATGTTAAGATCGTTAAAGAACGAGGAAAAATCTTCTTTAACATATATTGGAATCAATTTACGCAAGTATTATTATTATTATTTTTTTTTTATTCACCAATTTCACCAGATTATTCACCAGATTACTTTATCGTATTTAAACTGTAATTTTAGGTGCAAGCAATGAGATCGATAGATAACATATTCATAGTGGGAGATGTTAGAAAATTTGAATTTAATGGAACCAATAAAGAGGCTGATTTACAGCTTTTCAAAGATGCTGTGAACAATAATATGAAATTAGAAAAGGCTCTGAACGCTTGGAAGTCTGTCACTGAATTCCATGGAAAGATATATCCAACTATTGAAGAATATAATTCAGTAGAGAAGGATTGTAAACTCTCCAATACAACTGTTTCACCTGCGACGCAAAGAGTAAAGAAAAGAGGTCAAAATCCTTTTAATACCAAAGAAGATGAGATTCTAAGATACAGAGTAACGTGTGAAAGAAGTGGAAAACACGCGTTTGAATCTTATGATGTTGCCAGAATTATTGGAGGAGAATTACAAGATAAATATCATTGGCTTGTTGATTTATCTGCATACTATCTAGAAATAGTTTGTAAAGTAACTGATAGTAAGTACAATGTAAGTTAATGAAATTTTGTTTGTTATAAAAGAATAATACATGTTGTATTATAAACAGATGAATTGGTAACACATTTACGTGTTACGCATGAATCTAAGCATCGTCGGAATATTGCGCATTTTGGACCAACTACCCTTAGAGCAACTATATGTTATAATTTATTACGGTTAGCTCATCCTAATCCAGGAGATATAATAACTGACCCAATGTGTGGTGGTGGTTCTATTCCAATAGAGGTGATTTTCATTTCTACTGTACTTATAAAAATTCATGAAAAATTATTACACGATGTAATTGAAAATTCTAGGCAACTTTGGTTTACACTAAATCCTATGTCATTGGTGGAGATAATCATCCAAAAGCTATAGACAGAACGAAATCTAATGTTGATACATGTACCACAAAATCTAAAATTGATTTAGTACATTGGAATGTACAACAGTTACCACTTAAGGATTCATGTGTCGACATTGTTATTACTGATATGGTAATGAAATACACTTTCGTGTACACGCTGTTATATCATATTTAATTCAATAATTAATTTTACAGCCCTTTGGGAAAAGAAGTGGAAGAATGATTGATAACAGAATACTATACAAACAATTTTTAGTAGAATTAGGGCGAGTTGTGAAACCTTCAACGGGCCGAGCAGTATTACTCACTTACGATAGACGTAGTTTTAACACGGTACGTTACTGCAAATAATATTTTATTTAGAATTGCAATTAATATCGATTTTTATTTACAGGCTTTGCAAGCTGCCGGGAACTTGTTTTGGGTAACAAAAATGTTGGGTGTAAATATAGGTGGTCTCCAAGCTGCAGTGTACGTTTTAAAGCGAACAGACACAGCTTATGAGCAATTTAAACCTAAAGTTGTTAAACATCCTACACATAAAAGCAAGTGAACAAAAGTGATTACAAATATTGTTAATTTAAGCAAGTTATAGTATTTTTATTACAAGTTAACATTTCATAGAGGTTTAATAAACAGGAATTTTTGTACTTCTTATAAAAACTTTATAAATAATTTCCCTACAAATATTTATGTTAAATGAAGAAGTTTATAAGAAGAACTTTCTCCTGCTAGTTTCCATATCGTGTCTTCTTCCTTCTACAAGCCATTCATAGTCTCCATATTTACTATCAAATGTTCCATGTTGCAAGGACTTCAATTTTAAAGTGAATCTTGGTCCTAACTCCCTCAATCTAGGTTTGTCCTTTTTAATGTCAAATTGATACCTACAATGTACATTATTATATTTAATATTATTGAAGTGCTATACACAAACACAAAATCTCACCTATGATGCCTGAAAAATATGTAATCTCTTTGATTATGAAATGTTACAGCTCTTCTCCCTTTAAATTCAGGTTGATAATGAAATAGAGCTCCCAACATTCTACCAATTGTGTAACCCAAACGAGTAGTGAAATTATTTAAAATAACTTCCGGTCTATGTTTACTAATTTCTTTGTGACTCCTTTTTAATTCCGGTGTTATTTTAACATTACTAAGTTTGAAATATGCTGTTGGCCCCTCGGGTAAATGAATAATTAACATTCCATCTAAGAAGTTTTATTAGGAAAATAATAAATTTAAGCTATTAGAAATTTAATCAGTTGTACAAAGGCATTCAAAGGATACTAGGTTTACACTGATCTTCATTGACAACAATAATATCAGTGAAATTCCTGGCAATGGCACTTTTAACCATCTTTTTCACCCCAGAACGATTTCTATATAATGAAATAGAGTTTGGTATGATCCTTGTCAGTTCAACGCCAAAAATCCTGGTCTTTCTTGTTGGATTATCAGCATAGGTAATCAAAACTTTAGGCTCATATTCGTGTCTATAATAAGGAGCAAATTCGTCGTGTTCAAAATCAATTTTCAGCTCTTGATTTTCTTCATCGTCAATATCACCAGTAATGGTAGTTTCATCTTTCTCTCTTAAACTCTCAATAGTGTGTGGTACTTGTTTAGGTCCACCTTCTTGAATTCTTTTCTTTCGTGCTTCCTTCTTGGCTTTCGCTTTTTCTTTCTTTAATTTTTGACATTTTTGGTAGCGAACTGCTTTGCATTTTATATGATTAAAGTTGCTGTCAGATGGTAGGATAACCTTCGGTGTTTCATCTTTCGATGTACTTGGAGCTTCTTCGTCCTCACCCCTTTGAACTCTACTCAGAGGATTAATTCGCAAATTCTTTAACTTCATTTCAAGATATTTTGCAGTTTAATGAAGGTATAAAACAACGTCTTCATAACACGTGCTTAGACAGTGACTGCAAATAGTTGAAGACTGAACGTCTTTGTTTTCAAGGGGTCTTGATTTAAGGGGTCCCAGATACCCCTGAAGTCTACATGAAGCTAGCCGGAAGGAATAATAATATATCATTATTATTAATTTCTCTTAGTGTATTTCGTTTGCAAAACGTTTGTGATTGATTGTGAGTCTATTTTTAACGTTTATGACAAATTAGTTCTTTTGTAATTAGCAATTTCATTGCAATCATGATGTGAGCCGAAACTTTTTAGTAATTTTTTATAATAAACAGATTTTGTGATAACTGATAACTGTAATTAATTGGAAATCGTTTGTGATTTACAAATATATAATTTTCATTGTTTGTGAGTGAATAATTTCTTAATTATTTACAAGTGTGTGTTATAATAAACAATTGTAGTGTGCATGCGCTCCAGATCCGATCGTACCCATTACTACCTCGAACAAGTGAGTTTCACGATTTGTTCGTTTTTAGGTCTCATATTTCGCTAGATCCGGTCGTACCCATCACTATCCCGAACAAGTGAGTTTCACGATTTGTTCGTTTTTAGGTCTTATATTTCGCTATTTGCTTCGGGGTCCCTGACACCCCGGTGGCATAATATCGGTATGCAGCGTCACCTGTATGTACCTCGGGGTCTCAGGGACCCCGACTGCCGTAGTGTCGATAAGCAGAAAGTGTCGAATGTGCTTCGGGGTGCCTGACACCCCGGATGCAAAATGTCGGTATGCAAACAGTGTCACCGGTGCTTCGGGGTTCCTGACACCCCAAGATGATAACATGTCGGTATGCAAAGACAGTCACTTGTGCTTCGGGGTCCATGGCACCCCGGATGTTATATTATTGGTATGCAAAGATAGTCACCGCGTTTCGGGGTCCTTAATACCCCAATATGATATCAGGTCGGTACGCAGAGGGTGTCATTAGCGCAGCGGCGTCCCTAACACCGCTGAATAAGATCAGGTCCGTTTGAAGAGGGCACAACCAGTATAATTTTGTTCCAGAGTTTATTCAATTTACTTCCTTTATTCTTTTTTGCTTATCAAATAAGCTCATCGAAGGGGAATAACGTTTATGATTATATCCCTCTTCTGGGTCTCAACCGTGAACCCCATTTATTTTTCTTTTTCAAGTTGTTTATATAATTTTATCCCTCATTATAGGCCAAGGCCATCTCAGTATCCCTTATATCCCTGCATTCCTTACATTCCTGCAACCCTTAAATACCGTTCTTTTTTTTTTTTTTTTTTAACGTGGTGGAAATCTTCAGAAAGACACCTTCAGCCCCCCTGGGGAGGGACCGAAGGTAGTGTGGGATTTTTACCCACTAAAACCACCACGGTGGCATGCACTAGGGCGGCAGGGAGGGTCATTTGACCCTCTGCCATGTGCCAAACTCCGCCGACATCGGGGGCCACACCCGATGCCGGCACTCCTCGGACCGCGTGCAGTGACGACCAGGGCCCCAGCCCCAGGACTCCTGCGGAATTCATTTACATCCCTCGTTTCGTTATATCCGCTACATTCTTTTCATCACTACATTATTTTCATCCCTACATTCTTTTCATCCCTACACTCTTATCATTCCTACATTCTTTTCGTCCCTACATTCCCTTCATCGCTTCATCCCTTACATCCCTACATTCTTTTCATACCTACACCCTTTTCATCCCTACACTCTTTTCATCCCTACACCCTTTTCATCCCTACACTCTTTTCGTCCCTACACCCTTTTCATCCCTACACTCTTTTCATCCCTACATTCCCTACATCGCTTCATCCCTTACATCCCTACATTCTTTTCATACCTTCACCCTTTTCATCCCTACACTCTTCTCATCCCTACATTCTTTTCATCCCTACATTCCCTACATCGCTTCATCCCTTACATCCCTGCATTCTTTTCATCCCTACATTCCTTACATCTCTGCATCCCTTATAATATATATATTATAAGGACTACTTCGAGTATAGGTAAGTAAAGGCATGTTTTTTCGAAATTTTCGCGAAATTCTCGAAAAATAGCGCCCCCTAGCGGCAAAAATGTGGACTAAAATTTCGATGTCGAATCAGCGCCCACTGGTGGCGAACAAAGGAACTAAATCTAGCTCCATTTCTGGCCCTCTGGCGGCAAGAATGTGAACTAAAATTTCGATGTGGAATCAACGCCCTCTGGTAGAGAAAAAAGGAACTAAACCTGGCTCCATTTTTTGCCCTCAGGCGGCAAAAAAGTGAACTAAAATTTCGATGTCGTATCAGCGCCCTCTGGTGCCGAAAAGGGGAACTAAATTTGTATAAAATCGCAGGCCTTATAGCTGTAAAAATATCAACTCAATTTCAGGGAGGTACTGGAACGTATGGAATGCAGGAATATAAGTGATACAAGGACGTAAAGGATACAGGCATGTAAGGGATGCAGGGATGTAAGGCATGTTGCGATATAAAGAAGGCAGGAATGTAAGGAATGTAGAGATGTGGGGAATGCAAGGATGTAAGGGAAGCTGAGATGTAAGGGATGAAGAGATGTAAGGAATGTGGGGATGAAAAGAATGCTGGGATGTAAGGGATGAAGAGATGTAAGGAATGTTGGGATGTAAGGGATAAAGTTATGTAAGGAATGTAGGGATATAAGGGATGAAACGATGTAAGGTATGCTGGGATGGAAGGAATACTGAGATGGCCTTGACCTATAATGAGAGATAAAATTATATAAATAACTGAAAAAAGTAAAATAAATGGGGTCCACGGCTTAGACCCAGAAGAGGGATATAATCATAAATGTTATTCCCCTTCGATGAGCTAATTTAATAAGCAAAAAAAAATTAATGATGTGAATTAAATAACCTCTGGAAAAAAATTATACTGATTATGCCCTCTTCACACGGACCTGATCTCATCCAGGGGTGTTAGGGACCCACATGCGCCAATAAAGTCCTCTGCGTACCGACCTGATATCATATTGGGGTATTAAGGACCCCGAAACGCCGGTGACTATTTTTGCATACCAATAATATAGCATTCGGGGTGCCAGGGACCCCGAAGCACCAGTGACTATCTCTGCATACCGACATGTTATCTTCTCGGGGTATCAGGAACCCCGAAGCACCGGTGACACTGCATACCGACATTTTGGCATCCGGGGTGTTAGGGACCCCGAAGCACCGATGACACTCTTTGCTTACCGACACTACGGCAGTCGGGATATCTGTGACCCCGTGGAACCGGTGACGCTGCATACCGATATTACGCCACCGGGGTGTCTGGGACCCCGAAGCAAATAGCGAAATATAAGACCTAAAAACGAACAAATCGTGAAACTCACTTGTTCGAAGTAGTGATGGGTACGACCGGATCTGTAGCGCATGCGCACTACAATGATTTATTACAAAACAAACTTGTAAATAATTAAGAAATTATTCACTCACAAACAATGAAAATTATATATTTGTAAATCACAAACGATTTCCAATCAATTACAGTTATCAGTTATTACAAAATCTGTTTATTATAAAAAATTACTAAGAAGTTTCGGCTCACATCATGATTGAAATAAAATTGCTAATTACAAATGAACTAATTTGTCACAAACGTTACAAATAGAGTCACAATCAATCACAAGGGATTTACAAACGAAATTCGCTAAGAAAAATTAAAAATAATCATATTTTATTATTCCTTCCGGCTAGCTTCATGTAGGTAATTAGGTCTGCATGCAGAGAGCACAGTCGGTAACATAGCAGTACTTCTTTTGCGCAAACTATTCAACAAGTTACCACACAAACTGGCGCGCTCCCGCCATCTATCGGAATTCAGTGGAAACTACTTAGTCAGTCGGTAACTCGTTCAATTGTTTGCTTCGTTTTCGTATAGGTGGCGATAGAATCAAACTTTAAAAGCGGTCTTTTTAAAATACGAGTTTATGAAACAAAATTATCAATTATTTTAATGATTTTTCGGTCCTGTGCTGACCTTGACTGATTTCTAAAAAAGTAGAATCAAACAGAGTCAAAACTGTGTCTCTCTAGCTGCCACTGCAAGGAATGGTAAAGAAAGAACTGGTAAAGCGGGTACGATTGTGATATGACTCTATCTACGCAAAGTAACTTTCATTTACCGATTTATTTCTCTATAATCTTGGAAATAATTGAAATGCTAATAGTCATTGGTCCACATATTTCTTAACATAAAATAGTCTTTACATTTACATTGATTTATGTACATTTTAATGTAGGGTGTGTATACAACTTTATACATAAAACTTAATAAATATTTTACCTGCACAACCTATGTAAACAAAATTTAAAAAATTGATATCATATACCAATCTTAAATACCATAACTGTACATTGTACAACTGTATGTAACAAAATAGTATAAGAATGAGTTACTTTCTTAAGTTTTTGATGTTTTAGTTAAAAAAATTTCACTGTTACCCACAATATGAAAAAGACAACTATAGAGAATAAGATTAAATATAAAATATAATAATTATGACTTCCTTTAGATAAGCGTAAAACACGGGCAACAGAAGATGTTAATGAACCACTTGTCCTTTCAAAATCTTCATCCTGTGATGATAAAAGAAGTTTCTCTGTATAATTAGAATCTGAAATACTTAATAATCTTTTAATATTGTTGGGTAATTCACCATTCCACGAAGAACTTTTTCTTGATAATGTACTTCATTTCCAATATCAATTGACAGTGATTTTAAAGCATGAATTTTATCCTTTAAATGATCTGTCATTTTTTCATTTTCATCTTCCAAACCATCATGATTTGATGTTGTTGGTACTGGCTCATAGGCATAATCTGTAACAGAAATGAATTTATATAAAACCTAGGATAGCTACACTTTGTGGAAGGTGTTCCAGCATTGGTGAACCTACTTGTATGAGTTCTACGCATTGTATTCTCAATCTTGACAGCTGATTATAATACTTCTGAAAGCAGGAAGATTATAAGTGACTTTCATAATAAAAGTGTTTAGAATGAACAGACTTCAATTAATTTGAAATGAAAATATGTTACATGGAGCACTTCAGTAAATTGTTTATCACAGATTATAATGAATTTATAAAATATAATTAAATACTGCAATTGTTTTTAGAGGTATATACTACTGTAACATAGAAAATTACGAACCGTTATAAAAAAACTGCCAACTAAAGTTGTTGATTGTATTAACAGTGACTACAGGATACAGGTACAGAAAGACTGGACATAACTTTGTTGAGGTTGTGATTATGGGGATCTGAAAAACCCCCAGGTAAGGTTAGATCTGCAAATAAACTGTTAGTCGGTTCGTTAATTAACCAGTAAAATGAACAATGAGCTCAATTCGAAAGTCTTCCTTGCTTTGGAGGATTAAAAGATCAATATCAATTTTCAACAGATAAAATTAATGACCCAGGGTTTATTATTAATTTATTGATAAACAAGATTGCATCGAAATTATTCAAATATGAAATAATTAGTACTACCAACATTTTCCACACAAAGTTACTAAAGCTTTGTAATTATCACAGCCGACTCTAGTACTAGCCGTGCTGAAATAAAAATGGCAACACGGCGGGAGTCAGGTCTGAATATATCAACACCTACCCTACTCTGATGTATGGAATACATCGTGAGAATGCGTATTTAATTAAGAAAAATTAATGTCGTTTTGTTTTTTGAACTATTTTATAAACTTAATAATTTAATACTTAAATTTTAGAAAACTCTGTTTCTGATGTACATACATAAATGTGTGAAAAGTATATAATTTTGCACCTAACTAACACATAAGCGTTTACACATCAAACTATATACAGGGTGTCCCATTTTAATTAATAAATGCGATTATCTCGAGAACTATTCGTTATTTGAAAAAATGTTTCATAACGAACTTGTTCTGTTTCAAGGGGGACGTAATCCAGTGCCATTATTTCGTTTGTAGGTGTACATGAAGGTCATATTTATTTTTTTAAATGGAATCATATAATTTTTTATGCACTATTCGATACATCTCGGTATTCTGATTAAAAATGTATTGACCTATTTATATCGAAAAACTGTTACTTTGGGAGATATTCAAATTTTAATATTGCGAATTATTAAGTATGTAACTTCCGTAGTATTCTATGAAAACTAGGTTCCGCATAGCGATCATCAAAACAAACATCGATGTCCCAAACGTAGGTCTCTCATTACCGTACCAGTATCGTTAGGGGCAGCAAGCAAAATGTCTGATTATCTGCCTACTGAAATTATCGACATGATTATGGTGCTTGGAAAATGTGATAATAATTATTACGCGGCTACAAAATTATATCAGAAGAAATATCCAGAGAGAAGGCATCCAATGCCTGCTAAATTAAAGACATTAGTTTTAAGAGCTCGACATGGATATTTAAAGCGTCGAAAACACAAATTAGAACCAAAAGAAAACGCAACTATGGACGATTCAGGAGCTGTAACGGGAAATGTACACATCAGTACACGTCAGATTAGCCGTGAATTCAACGTACCACGATTAACTGTATCGCGGGTGCTACGATTCCACAAATTTCACCCGTATCATATAAAACTGACGCAACAGTTGAAAGGAAATGATTTTAATTCACGATTACTATTTTGTCAATGGGCTCAAAGCACTTTACAACAGGATCCTTCATTTTTCTCGTACGTGCTTTTTTCTGATGAAGCAACATTTAAAAACACAGGCGAAGTAAACAGACACAATTGTCATTATTGGTCACGCGTAAACCCTTTGTGGCAAAGATCAGTTCCTTTTCAAAAGCAATGGTCATTAAATGTTTGGGCCGGTATTATTGGTGGATACATTATAGGACCATACTTTTTCGACACTTCATTAACAGGACAAAAGTATCTTCATTTCCTCGAGCAGTCATTGACAGACCTTTTGGGCAATGTGGATTTGGCTACACGGCGAAAAATGTGGTTCCAACATGATGGAGCACCGGCTCATTATGATCGCAGGGTACGGAATTGGTTGGAATTACGTTTCCCACAGCGATGGATTGGTCATGGCAGTGCTTTTGCATGGCCGCCCAGATCACCAGATCTAACACCACTAGACTTTTTTTTATGGGGTTATGTGAAGGAAAAAGTTTTTAGCAGTCAGCCGACAAGTATTGAAGATATGAAAGAGAGAATATCTAATGCATTCAAATGCGTCACTCTGGAAACACTCATGAATGTTCAAGCTGATATTAAGCGACGCATTCAAAAATGTATTGATGTGCACGGTAACGTATTCGAGCATTTGTAGACAAGTATTCGACTGTTTTCAGTTAAAAAAAAATAAAATGTAAGATATAAAGTGTTGCAATTCTATCATTATTCTCTACAACCTAGAAACGATAGTTTTTCGATATAAATAGGTCAATACATTTTTATTCAGAATACCGAGATGCATCGAATAGTGCATAAAAAATTATATATGATTCCATTTAAAAAAATAAATATGACCTTCATGTGTCCTTCATGAGTACACTTACAAACAGAATAGCGGCGCTGGATTACGTTCCCCTCGAAACAGAACAAGTTCGTTATGAAACATTTTTTCAAATAACGAATAGTTCTCGAGATAATCGTATTTATTGATTAAAATGGGACACCCTGTATAATGAAAATTAATTTTTTTTTCAATTTTTAAAGCTTAGTTGTACGTGTGAAAAAGAGTTGTTTATTAGAATTTCCGAATATTTTAGCAATTATCAAGATAAATTAGTTAGCCTCCTTCGATTAGCCAAAATAGATAACATTATTTACATAAGCCACTGCACAAAATATGAGTAACTTTCTATAATAATATATTTTTAACAATTAACTATATTCCATAAAGCTTTTCATTAGACTAAAGTAATTGTACTTGCACTCAAAACTGTACAAAAAATCTTATTCGTACGCTCATTTCATATAGTTTCACTCCTCACTGTAATGGAAGTTAAGATTAATCCTTTTATAAAACCTAATCTAAAAATGGTACCCAGCACGTAACAATAAATTATAGCTCAGTCTCTCTCCACTAAATGTAACAATACGATTTATATAAAAATTTACAATTTGTAGCCGCACAATCGATATGTTACACTGTAGGTTCTTTTTATGTACACATGAAATATTTGAAATTAATTATAACTATAACCTACAACATATAATCGTCTTTCCTTTACCAAAATATTACAATGTGAAATGTTTCATCTTCAATCTAGTTTTTCATTGTACCGCAACATATTATGCAATAATGTTAGTTATCGAATTTATGTTATGGTACGCGAAGGAAAATTAAAAAAATATAAGATGTAAACACTTTCACAATAGTAATATGTACAATTCTGACGATTCTTTACAGCTTCGTGTTCGCAAAATATTTACTTGCACTATATCTCATGAGATGATTATTTACAAAATGTTCATTAAAGATTAACACAAATACATGTAGGATTTGATCACTGACACACTTTCTTTTTTTACTTATTATTTTACCGCTTGTCACCTCTAAAGTTCATTTAAATATTTATCTACACTAAACAATTGTTTGAGGTAATTATATCATCTTCAGAAATCATATCTTGAAGAGGAATACCAGGCTTCTGCAAGAAAGATTTTAAAATGTATATAAAGTAAATGTTCTAAAATTTACTTAACATTATTACGCTAAATAATATTAAAAATATTTGCACTTACTTCAATGACAATGGTCGAAGCCATGTTGTCTGTGTCGTGATACTGTACACCTACATTTGTTGCTGCTGCTATTGCTATAGTACGAACGGTATTGGTGTTGGTCGATGTTGTGATGTGCTGGGTAATCTTGGAGTTTTCGTTTGTTCTACTAGAACCATTACACTCTTATATGCGTAAAATAATAAATGAGATATTGTACTTGCTTTCTAATACGGAAAGTTATAATAAAAAGATATAAACTAAAACTTACTTTCGCTTCTTTACTTGACCAGAATGAAAACGACCACCTTCACCACGAATTCTATTCATTGCGTGTCGATGACGAGATTCGTGGAGGTATTTCTGTAACGAAAGAAAATCAAGTTAATATGAAAAGCTTAATAAAATCATATTATTTAATAATTAACAGATCATAATCTTACTGGTCTTTCCTTAGGAATTTTTCCTTCCGCTTCTAATTTAGCACGAGCTTGACGTCGTTTTAATATACGTCTATATTGTTTAGCATTCACATACAAAGGTTCTTCTTCAAAAACTTCGGCATTAGGTAATGCTACCCTCTGAAATTGCGCCTGTCCACTATTACCTGGTACCATCTAAGCGATAAAAATCAAAAGTCATACATTACTAAATATTGTAACTAAAACTTAAACTCATAATTCTTTGCGGACGGAACCGACGCCTGGCGATTAAGCGTCATTTGTGCGGCTATTTGCCAACATGCGTCCGCAAAGGATTCATTTCATAAGTTTGACTGATTTTAAATACTTAAATTAAAAAGGAAAGCATTAGAATTAAAACACATTGTAATGTTATTAATGTTGCTCCATAATCACCACAAGTCAGTATAATATATATACACAGACTATGTAAGTGAAAGAGACATTTTAACGGTAATCACCATGACAACATTTCCTGCCTGAGTTGCTGTTGCAGTAGGACTTGCCAGAGGTTGTACCGGAGTTGTAGCTGCAGCAGTTGTGGCTGTTTGCGATGTTGTTCCAGCAATTTGCATAAGATTTCCATTGATATTGATTACTGCATAAAAATATATAGTTAAAATATGAATTTTGTAATTTCATTAATTGAAAAAACAATAATTTCTTATACCTGTTGGTTGCGCTTGTTGAACTTGACCTTCCAATTGAACTGGTTGATAAATGTACGTTTGTCCATCTGGGGTTTGAATAATTTGCGGTGTTTGAGGTTGTTGAATTACAATCTGTTGACCTGTACCAGTTAAACTAGACACTGGAACTACTTGTATTTGTCCATTTGGTGCAGCCACTTGAATAGCTTGTGGTAACATCATAGCCTGTCCACCCTGTCCCATTTGAACAACTTGGACAGTTCCACCGGCACTACCAACCACAACTGCTTGACCCTCTCCCAGTTGCTCCATTGTAAATTTTTCCTGTTGCTAAACAGAAGATATTGGTCTTACAAAACAAAAACAATGCAATTATATTAAAATCTAAATTCACCAATAATAACATTTTTTACCAGAAAAGTAATTTATACACATATGTATATACATAAGGATGATTTTATGTACCCATACAAAAACATCATTATACTGTATAGCTGAGTGAAATGGAATCTTATAAAAACTTTTTTGTCTATTTGAAGCATGAAAATAAATAAATAGTAACGGATCTGTACATGAACTCGAAAGGTTAGAATTTGGCGAAAAAGTTAGATTCTATTAGGCGTAATTCGCGCCTTGCAATGATTGATAAAGATCGCCAACGTGGCGAGAACTTTGAGGTCTGAGAGCCCACGTGCAGAACGTTAGATACGTAGGACAGAGAATCGAGGCCAGGCAGCAATCGTCACCTTCTATCGGTCACAAATCGCTTCCAAAGGATGTTGCATCCTGTTCTCGGCGACATGATTAACCTCGTGTATTCGTGATTCTTAACACGCGGCAAATGCAGACGTGCGATACGAAGAGAAGGCCCACTGGATAGCACACGGGACGCGATATCATCGGGATGAAACGACGCAAATTTCGGGTGAGAAACGCTTGTCTCGACAAACATGGCCGTGCAGAAAGACTTTTTCAACATCGAGAAGACACGATTTCGCACTTGAAACAGTTCACGGAATGAAAACACGGTTAATCGTATAACTGTGCGCGGTCGTACGCGTACCCCGTTGATGTTTGATAATTTGTGGACTTACATTGGATATTTTCGTGGGCACTTTCCCAATGATTGGTCGGCAAATTGAGGACCAATGGTCGGCGATAGAGAGTCCTCGGCTCTTGTGTATTGGTGGCACTGAACGGGGGGACCTGCCAGTCCGATAGCAGCCCGATGCCAGACCGGTCGATGCCCCTCCGCGCCTCGACACGCCTAACCAATCTACTGGCTGGATTTATCCCCACTACTTACTTCCCGCGCTCTCATCAAACTTCGCGCGTTTCTAACAGCTTATTTCCCGCTTCCTTTTAAATCAATTCATCGATCTATAACGATCACTAATAATTTCCTGGAATTTCGTTGTTTACTTATTTTCTAAACTTTATGAATAGTTTATGAGTAATCAATAACCTAGCAAATCTAGATTTATAATGTACAGCTAAATGACTTATTTAACTGTAATGTGTTAAGATAACAACTACCACGGTTATTTATGATTACTAATTATTAAAAATTAGTAAGGATTTATTGTAACAAATATATAAAAAAATTTATCAATACACAAATAAATACATTTTAATAAAATTATATTCTATGCAATACGGGTAGAACAAATACAGTTTATATTTTTCTTAACGATCATTTATTGCCAAACGTAATTTCATTTAACGAAACCTTCATATTCACAAAATGGTATATAAGCTTATGTATTTTTGTTTACCATATTTTATATAAATGAATAAGGGATGGAAGTAGTTTATATAAATGAACAACTATCACATTTTTAGAAAAATATTAAATTAATAAATTTTAAATGAACATAAAATATATATAAGTTGATAAATATGAAACGATAAACATTAATAGGATCAATTCATACAAATATCACCAATGTATACCCTGAATTAAAGATTTGTGTTTGCTTCTGATATTACAAAAACACTTTTTCTATAGTATATAACATGATATTGATAAAAATGTGCATATTAACACTTAAACGACCAATCACGAGATTTCTCGTGTTTCAATGCTGAGATGCGGTCATTTAAGCGTTAATGAATATATAGTAAAAAATATTCTGATCATTCTTGAATCCTGATTGTTTATTATTTTTCAGTTATTACTTTTATTAAAATTTATTGTAAGTTTAACGTATCATTAGAAATTGATAGAAATTTTTTGAAAATTACGGTAGAAAACTAAAAAATGTATTATTAGTTTAATAAAACATAATTTTGCAATTTATATATGGAAAAAATTATAAACCTATGTGACGATTGTATTTATTAAACTATGACAAAATAGCCTTTTTATATTACTTGTTTTCCAGTATACACCTTAGTGAAATTCAATAACAGTGGAATAACTTTTTACAGTATTGTGTACAAATTACAGGAAAGCACTACCAAATTCAGTACTTTTATTAGAAACTGATCTTTTGAAAATACCTGAAATCTTAACATTTCAAAACAATCTTATTGTATTATTCAGAAATTGTCAAGACATTAATATGTAATTATTAAGAAATAGGACCTGAACTTTCATTTATAATACACAGCATCAGAATGCTTAATGGATATTTATGTTTAAATACATTCTGAAATAAATTCAGACCTAATTCATCAAAAATTGATTTTGCATGTGTTTTTGTCATGTAATATAAGCATTTCACTCAAGTAAGATGTAATCTTACTGAGGAAATATCATAAGATCACGATAAGAAAGGAACCACCAAGTCCTCCTTGTGTTCAACTTTTACATCTCCTAATGCTGCCACAGCCTTACTGAGCATTTCTGTAATCTGTAAATATAATGTAAATCATTATGAAACAAATTAAAAAATCTAAAATAATGCTAATTTATATTTAATGTGCATTTACCAGCCCATGATCCCCAGCAGCAAGAGGATCTGCTGCTAATATCTTTTCTGGAGCAGGGATATCTTTAAGTAGGCAAGATGTGGTATCAGGGACTTTAATACCTCCAGCTTCTATACGCTTAGAATATGCACGTGACCTATCCATATATTCATGCTGTTCCAAATTATGGGAATCTAATGCTGCAACATCTATCACATTACTAAAACCAAAATTTTAATGAAATAAATTATTGAGTAGTCACATTATTCTGTAACGAATATAATCATAAAAGAATGATGTAATTCTGTAAGCCAAAAAAGGTAAAGGTAACACTCACGCAGCTGTTTCATGTAAAATTCTATTTAATGCACTTTGTTCATCTGTCTTTTTGGGTGCTGAGCTTGCATATTGATTGACATAATCATCGCTATAAAAGAGACAGAAATAAGGAACCTTTAGCAAATTTTAGTTCATATCATGATAAAATATACATATATATAAAACATACCTGTGTACTCTAGGTATGTTTGTGTTATTACTGACAGGATCTACCAACAAGTGTGTCCTTTCATTTACTTCCCCACTCTACAGAAATAAAAAATAATTCCAAAATTGCAATCAACATTTAGATTAATTCAAATAAAAGATACAATATAACGTACATTTTGCTTAATTTTTGAGTGAACTATTCACAAATGCTGATTCTCTTATATGTACTACTTTGTCACTCAAACAGGCACAATAACGATAAAATTTTATACGCTTTAAAAGCATATCTAATGGTATGCGATAAGTTAAGATTGAAAACCATTTATTGCGATTGAAATAATTTTATTAAAATAATTTCTTATTACCTGCGGACCGCTGTCTTCCTTACAAAAACTGTAACAACATCCCATACTTATAAGTGGATTGATAAAATTTGTTCGCCAATCACTAAAACGTATTATTTTTTATCCTCATTCCTGTAAACAATCGAGTGAATCAGCTGTAAATGTATGTACCGACACTGCGCTTCAAGCAATATCCATAAATAAAATGTATTGCGAAGTGCAACAACCTTTTTAAACCAGATGCGAAAACTGCAATAAGTAACTGAAACATACATACAACGTCTCTGGTGGAGCTTATAGCGTACTAAACTAGATAATATAACCTTAAAGATTTATGGGATAAGGCAGTATATAAATTTATACATTTGTAGGAAACATTTATTGTTTATCAAAATTTGCATAAAATTACAAGTGTTTTGTTATATAATAAAACAAATATAATGAAAATGATATTTCAAATTACTGTGTAATATATGTGCACTATTCATTTCTGATTTGTTCTTAAAATAAGTGTTGAATTATATCCTTTTTGTAGTCACTAATTTAATTGTACATTATATAGATTTTCAAATTTTGTTAAATAATTAATTATATCTGAACAGTATTAAGTAAAGTTTTAATTTTATTAATAGAAAAGAAAGCTATTAATCTCTGCATCATGTCAGTCACAAAGGTAAGACTACCATCTAATTCCATCATCATAATCATTTAATAAATTATGTATTTAACATACAATTACATTTTCAGGAATTACCAGAACTACAAATCTTCAAAACAGTATTATTTCACTGTGTAGTAATAATAGCCTTACCTGTGCTATCATTCTTTACTAGCAAAATTTTTATTTTTGATGGTATGGAAGCAAATCATAGTATTATTAAACTATTCAATTATTTATAAAAGTTATATTATTGTTGGTGATATCAAATATCCAATAAATATTATAAAAACTATAACCATTTAAGGAGAACATTAGAGCACAAAATAGTTCATATTTATATTTACATAAATATGGTAGATATTTTGAAGCTCTTTTGTTTTTAATCTAGCAGACAGAAATTGATATTTTTTATGTACATCAATGATATAATACCTAACAAGTTGGAATGTAACACACCTCAGTTACTTAGCAAAAGTACATCACATTTTTGATTGGTTATTAATCATTATATTTTGAACTAAAATATATGTAAATTCTTAAATGTAACTTTGACAACTTGATGTTTTAAATTCAAATCAGTTTCTGTACATTTTAGGTTTATTGGGGCTTAATAATGTACCAAGCAACGTCTATTCAGCTGGAGTTGCTATTCTCGTGTTACACGTGGCTCTGGGAGCTTTTATATATCGTGCATACTTCGACGATCAATCGAAGACACAAACTAAGCGAGATTAAACATTTGTTTTACATATATATGTAATTAAGTACATCTTCTTGATAACACATTTATTCGCGTATACTCGTCGAAAGAAGGATGTTACATTGTATTGCATTACATTCTGCAATTCATATATTTCCTTGTCAAAGTTTAGGTAATATTTTTTTATTGAATACTGTGAACTATGTAAATGGCGAGTATATTCTATACTTGTATCAATTAATGAAACATAATTACTAAATAAAAAGCAATGACATTCCCACACAAAATTTGCATATTGTACAGCACAAACTTTTTGTAATATACATACATCTACATGGAATGGAATTCCATTACATTTTTTTTTATGTTCAAAAATTTTGCACTAGATTATTTTATATTTGATAGTTTATAGAGTAGTTTTGCAGTATAGTTAATAGTGCCTTCATATATCGTATCAGATGCATAAATTAATTGTAGTGCACTTTATGATCACAGTACTAGAATTATTAGGGGTGAATTTATATTTAGAGTCCATGTGTAGTTAATAAAAGATATAAACACAAATTCTTATATTATGAAATATAAAAACAATACGAAAGACTTACAAAAGCGATAAAAATTCGCCCCTAATAACACTGAATAGCAGCACATAATTTTTCCATTTTCATCTGGAATAAATAACAAATGAATTATTAATATACAAAGCGATGCTATCGTTGTTTTTTTCAGTATCGGTAAGAAACAATATTCTAAAAAAATTATAAGAACTTAAAAACATTTAAAATGTTGATGAAATTGTATCCAAGTGCAAACAATTCAAAACAGTATATACTTTACCTTCAGGAGAAGTTACGAGTTATTCATAATAGTTTTAAATACAACTTGATTTTTAGAAATTTCATGTCATCAAAATTTGATAATGCTAAAATACAATATATAATGTACATGATTTAATTTAACAACTTTTTCTAAATATATCACTGCCACCAATGTAAAACAAATCCTAGAACAAACTTAATAAATTTTATTAATGAAATATTAATTTATTTAAGTATCGTAAATGCAACAAAAGTTTGTGTCACGGAATAGTTTGTTGTCGGCCTGGGAAAGTGTTGGAATGAATGCTTATTGTATTAAATACATAAAATCGCCAGCGATATTAACTACTTCACAATTTAATTTAGCCATTAGTTCTAACTTAGTATTTGTCCTACACATTATAGGTCACAATGTATTTAATTCTTTTTACTGGCAATTAAGGATCAGGGAACTCTTCAGAGTACTCCACTGACAGAAATTTTGTTAACACTTTTCCTAAGAGTATATTAAAGGTTGAAGAATTTTTTCGTTCCTAAATAGTACTTTTGCAACTTTTTTAAGAAGATATACATTTACGAACACGTTTTTCATTTAACTGGTCATTTTTTTTGGAGAAATATTGAGCTAGTTATTTTTAATAAAATAGCAAAGTAAAAAAATTGAAGTGTATTTCTCATACTTCAAAACTTAACAAATTTTATCATGGATTTGTAATTACATATTAATTGTAAAATTAAGTATTAAGCTAATCATTATTTATGTAAATGAAATACTGTTTGTCAAATTAATTGAACGTGAAATGTACATACACCTTTTTTTTTGTTATAATTAAGAAGAAAAAAAAGAAAATTCTCCAAATTTCAATATACTTCATTGTGATACATTTGTCTTAAATAGGTCAACTTATCACATTCATAACTATGATAGGAAAAGAAAAAGAAACTCACATGTGCTAATTACAACGTATCAGGCGCTTTTGTGACATGATAAAAATGACTTGTACGATGAAATAATTTCCGTTATTTTAATAATGATAGATTTAATAGTATTAAAACACATAAAATAGGGTCACTGTTACTCAACATCCATCTTATCTTCGTGAGGTTGTTGATTATTTTGGGCATGACCATCGCCTTGACTATTCTGATTGTTTTTCTGCTGATCTTCAGCTGTTTTATCTTTAGGTTTTTCTTCTTTTGGTGGTTCTACTTTAGGTTTTGGTTTATTTAAGACTGGTAATACACTACTATCCAGTGACTGTAAAATACAGATGAAACATGTGAATAAAGATTCATAAAAAAACTATGTATTGTGGACCTATCGAACACAGTAGGCTTCCCTAGAGAAAACTAAAGTAATATAAACTGTAACTTTTACTGTGTAAACGTTTATAAGCAAGTAATGGAGAACCACAGATTTACATGGAGCCATCTTCCATATTATCGTCATTTTCCTCGTGATCGCCTCTGGAAAGGGACATAAGCCCATGGAAGAGGAGGCCTAAGGCGAGTGCCAGGAATCTCGGGGAAATCTACAGCCGTAGCTGTTCGACATCGCTATTTTTCTTGGGGAAGCCTCCCATGCTCGGTATTGTAAAATTCTGTGTAGTGTATTATAAATACCTGTTTTTCTGCACGTATTTGGGCTACAGTAACCGGTGGTGGTTGTGTGCGAGGTGTGCCGGCCAAAAGTACACGTTTCTCTTCAAGCCACGCCCACTTTTCTTGCACCGCTTTTTCAACCTTCTTCACTTCTTCTTCCGTTAGGTGAGAATATTTATTGTCTTTTCCGCTAGATGCCTTAATGAGATCTAAACCTTTCTTAGCAAGTTGTAATGCTCCTGCTAATTCTTCCAACGCATGATTTCTGCCCTCAAATTCCATTCGCCTTTCTTTAATTGGTTCACCCTGTGCCTATTGAATTACAGAGATACTCATTTTAAATGACTTTGCACTTTAAGAAAAAAGAAAAAAAAAAAGCGTTTATTTAACTTTTAATAGTTACACCGACACTTACCTTAAGACGTGTTAATCGTTCTGAATAAACTTGTCGCTGACAATCTTCACCTTCTTCATAAAGCCAATTTTCAGTTTCGTCTAATGCACGGCAAAGTGCTTCTTTATCTGCTTCAGTAATAAATGTAGCTAACTGATCGTCTTCTTGCAATTTAGCACGTAAGTCATAAACATATTCTTCTAACGCGTTACGAGCATCAATGCGTTCTTTTTCCTGCCTATCCTCGGCAATCATCTTACACTGAATATAAAAAATAGATAAGAGCACAGTTGTAAAATTCTTCATATGCCATAATAAGTATATCTTACCTCTTTTTCTAAAGCGGCATCTAAATCGCGTTGACTAAGTCCAAATCCATGAACTTCCACCGGTAATTCAACATTGCGAACAGGAACTTTCTTTTTACCCTTGTTTTCATCTTTATCGTCACCCTGAAAAAGAATAATATATTAATATGAAATAGTTATAGATGTTTATTTATGAGAAAATTTGTTAACAGAAAATTGTTTTATATAATCATTGTGTTGGTTTTCCATTTCATAGTTTTATGATTTCTTGAAAGACTTTCTATTTGTAAAATATAGCAACTGAAATTATAACATATAAAATAAACATGGCAATATCACAATAAAATTAAAATAAATAGTTTAAACTAAGATACACATAAATTGGACGTCAGGTGATGATAAAAATGAGCAGAGGACAAAGAGAGGCATCACATTTTTATGCGAACAGTTTTCAATTCGTGATACTTTTAGGTTCAATTGTTTCGTGAAACAAATAAAAATATAGAAACGATTATAGTAATAAAGTACTATACGAATCGAAAACCGAACCGCATTGCCTGCCTTCACAATTTCAATGTAGTGATAGTTACTGCACTATTAACAATTACTGTCTCTTTTCCTTCTGCGACCCAGTGAAAAGAATAACAGAGCAAAGACAGACAGCACGGCGTGACACAGCTGTATCTTGGACCCATATGCATGAAAACACATTACTATGAAATTTATTATGCATATGCCGATATTCATATATATCATAGTATTAATTTTTATCTCGTTAATTTTATTCATAATGGTACTATGATTAACCGAGTTTGCAGAAGAAATCGACACAGGTTTCGAAATTCTAAATATAACTAAACATCATGCAATAAAGAAACTACAATAAATGGTAAATTTATATACTTCATGAATAATTTGTGTTATATATTCATTTACTTGTAATGATTTTTAAAAGTGTTTAACATTTTTAATAGCTAGAAAGATAGTTTTGCAGTGTAAAAAATTTGATCTTATCCTTTCAGTACGGCACATTTGATTGTTTTCAATTAAAATCCTTTTTTAAATAACAATTATCAAACACAAATTTTGCAACTTCAATGTATAAATCATTACTTCATGCAGGATACTTAAATCTGATTATGATTGCAATGATCTTATAACACATAACTAGTGATGCTGACGTGATGAAAGAAATAAAAAATCTATGACACGTTTAAACACGAAAAGCTATTCATGTCGCCATTATGAATTATAACAATACCACAATCTAAGCAAAAGTCGGAGATTATTGCACATGTTTCAGTTAACATATGGGTCCAAGTAATGATAGTGTGTCGCGTACCGAGCTGAACCAAGAGAGAATCCTGGAGGAGTAAGAAGGGGCAGAACCCCTCGCACCTCTTCCACCATCATCAGCATCTGAGTTCCGACGTGTTTTATCCATGCTCACCTAAACCACAACAAACTCACATAATCATGCATCAGACACTCGAGAACATATGAGTACTGTTATTTCTATAAAGGTTACTTCTTATGTAGAATGAATTTGATGGTTTAATATATATATATATATATATATATATTTCTACCTAATACAATCATTACTCAAAATATCGGATGTTTTAAATAAGTAAGTAGTTTAGTAAATAATTATTAAATAAATTAACATAATTTTATAAGTATATTAATATGTTATCACATATACACAATTACCATATGCATAACTCAATTTTGATGAAAAATAAACTGGACTTATGAATGTACATACCTCAGGTGCTGGTGGCTCATTTGCCTGAGCTTCTTGATCAGGTTTATCTTTTTTATCAGCCTGCTGATCAACATCCATATTATTTTGTTGCTGTTGCTGCTGTTGTACCTTTTCTTCTTCTTCTTTCTCTTGTTGTGTTAATTCACGTTTTTCAACAAGCGATGCCGAAGCAATAGTGAGGATACCATTCAAGTTTATTCTTACTTTAACCTTTACTTTTGAAGACTCTCCCTCTGGTGTTGCCTTTACATTTTTTATTACAAATACACCTATACAAAATAGTAATTATAGAAATATATTATGACCGCGCGAGATTCCATTGTTCTTCAGTTGCGTTTAGCAAACGTATTTAAAGAAAAAAAAATTTTTTTTTAATTTAATACATACCAACGTGAGTTGTAGGATACGATAGTGGCGGTACATTGTAACTAGCAGTGAGAGTAAATGGACTTGATCGGTAAAATGTTAACATCTTTGAAAACGGTACCGGATGATTATGTCCGAAGACTTCCATCTCGCTAAAATAATAGATAATATGTTATTAAGGAAGATATTGGTATTACAGTAATAAAGACATTTATGTATTTTATATAGAATGTATGAACATACCCCTCTTCACCCTGAGTAGCGTCCCATGTTAACTTTAGTGAATATGGCTGAATATCAGTTACTGAGAAGTCACGGACTCTTACAGCAGGACTCAACATTGCACACTGAAGTGCACATCCACGAGCAACAGCTTCATCTTGATTTAATGTTGTAGATACAGGACGATTAAAAATCTCTTCAACTAGTCGTTTAATAGCCGGAACGCGGCTAGAACCACCCGCTAATTCCACAGAATGGACGTCGTCTAATTTTAATTCTATAAAATAAAAAATATTATAAATAAGTATAATGTCGTCAAGAGGTATGTATTACAAAATTTTTAAATACGAATAATTAAAAATAATATTTACTAGAGTCTTCGAGACATTCACGCAAAGTTTTTTCCACGCGCTTAAATAAATGTGCACACATTGCTTCCATATCCGCTCGTTTCAATTCACCGTGTACATCTTTTTCATCCATGAAACATTCAATATTAAGAGGAAGTGTTGTTGAATTCGCCGACATCTGTTTCTTCAACTTTTCCACCTCTGCTAATAGTCGTAGATACGCGCGAGGATTTGTATGTGGATCGATATTGTAACGCGATTGAAAATCTTTACAAAAATGTTCCGCTAAGATAGAATCTATATCCCTTCCACCTAACTGAGTATCAAAACTAGTGGCTAACATCTACAAAGAATATTTGTATTAAATATATTGTATATCCTTCTACGTTATTTTAAAATATATAATTGTCCTTGCCACACGACACGATGACGTCAGTGGCTAAAGGTCTGATCACGCGATATCGTCAAAAATTATTCCGAGACATAATATAGCAAGGAACGTGTCAATATTTATTTAAATAGAATTACTACTTACTTTTAATTTTCCTTTGTGGAATGCACAAATGCTTACTTGTAAGCTAGCATATCCACAATCAACAAATACTACATTTCTTGGCGGTGCATCAGGTGATGGTAAATCTTGTTTGTAAATGCCATAACATAAAGCAGTAGATGTTGTTTCATTAAACAATCTAAGAACATTTAAACCTGCTATTCGTGCAGCATCAAGCAACGCTTGCCGTTCAGTTTGTGTATAATATGAAGGAACGGAAATCACACAATCATTAACAATAGTCTGCAGAGCAGTTTCAGATATATCTTTTAATTTTGTGAATAACATTGCTGTTATTTGTTCAGGTGAGAAAATGTGTTCTTCTCCCAGGTATTGTACCTAAAATTAAAAAATAAATGTAAGCATATTATCTATTTCTATTTATTCTTATCATTGCCATTTTTAATACACAAATTATAAACAAATATGATGCATCAGGTTTTAACTGTCTTAAGGAGATATAAATAAGGTATGAGTCCTCACAGATATGAGAAATTTGGCAGGATGCCCAAATTAAATCTAAGTATCATTACAAAGTCAAAATAATTGAAAGTTTTCTCTCACTTTAATATTTATGCTATTCTTTAAAATAATACCAAAATTTTAATTTATTAACTTTTGTTACAAACATACATTAACAGAAAATTAGTTATTTAATAAATACATACATGTATACCAATATTTCCATCTGCTTGCTGAGTTACCTTGAAAGGTAACATTTTTATTTCTCTTTGTACTTGTGGATCATTGAATTTTCTACCTAATAATCTTTTGAACCCATAAATAGTATTTTTCATGTTGGTTACCATTTGATTTTTGGCTGCTACACCAAGAATTCGATTCTTTCCACTAAATGCTACGCATGATCTAGAATTGATAATGATTTTTTGTTAATTCAAATATAAATAAGAAATTTTATTTAAACAATACATATTAAATTGATATATTAGTTGAACATATATATATTAATACCTATATCACTACATATACATATACTGTTTCTAGAATAATCTGATCATACTGGAACTGTTTAATTTTTCAATAAAGAGTATATATTACAAATATTAAAAACGTAATTACTTATCATTTATTATATTTAAAAAGAATTTAGAATAATTTTCAATGTTACAAATATATAAATAAATAATAAATATAAAATACATCCAAGATTGTATCTTTTATTATTTAATACATAAAAACATCAATTACATTGACATTTGTAAAGATATATAACATAAAAATAATCAATATTTAAATACTTTAATATGTGATAATTTAAAATATAACACTTTAAATACCCTATTATTATTAACTGAAAACAAAAATTCTGGAGGGTTATTATGGTGATTATACTATTATATAGGTGATATAAAAATGCAGCTATTGAATACAAAATTATGAATTTCTGAAAACAGTACTTTTCATTCAAATCACGTAATATTTCCTGTGTTTCTGATACACAAACTACAATAGCAGTATATTCATTATACACTAATTCTAATTGTAAATTAACTCTAAATTCTTGCTCATGTATATGTATACATTAAATTTCAAATAAAGCGTATAAAAAAATATCTCGCGCATCGCTACTACGCTATGGACTTTTTTGTAGTTCTTAGTCATGTGAAAGTAAATGCGACAACCAAATAGACAAAACGATTTGGACATAAATGGTAGCAATCAAGTACATCATTTCGAACATTTCCTACTTTATTTCCCTGATTTATTTATAAGCTGTTTTTATATTTTTACTTGTAAAAAAAAATCGTGGAGACAAGGAAGATCATACGAAGGCCGGTACACACCGGTATCTCCTAAACGTAATTTAACAATTAAGAAACGATTATTGAAATAAAGAAAACTTACGGTGTACTTCGAAGACTGTAATCATTAGCTATAGTTTCAATACCTCCCGCTCGTGCTACAGCCACATAACAGCTCTCATTGCCGAAGTCAATTCCAATCACGGACATAGCAGCCATGGCTGATAGCTAGTTTAATAATGTTTTCTTTACGACACTGAATAAATTGTAAAGTTTCGTTTGTCGATTAAATGTTGATCTTCGAAAAGAATGTGCAAGTAAACTGTTAATCGTTTGCAACTTGTGTTGATAATTACCGTGAACGTTGAATTCACGACCTCGTTAAATACTCGCTCTTCACTCACGTAATAGACTAAACGAAATGCCTCCGCACGGTAACTGCGATTACTTCTTTCTGCTAACTTCTGCTGAAAACTCACCAATCATGGCGCTGTAGTATACAGTTCCTATTGGCTAATCGGTTGCTCTGGAACATTCTGGAATTATGCGCCATTGGGACCTTCGTTATGGATAATGTCAGCTTCGTTTCCAGAAGAATCGAAAGGAAACAATCAATATACGACACATTTAACTATAAAAATTTCCTAGATCGATAAATATATGATGAATTATAAACACGTTATTCTATTATATTTCCCTTCCTTTTTTTTCGTACACCTTTTTTTGGAGCTCTTGAATTTGCACACATTGCGCACGAATGTGATTGGTTTCCTTAGCAATATGTCCGACATGAAACAAATTTTGAAAAGTTGCCATTACACGCAAATGTTCAATAATTCAGCTTTAAAAATAACCATGCTGTTATAGATTTTGAATTGCTGTATTCAAAATGTAGATAACATCACTAGAAATTAAATACAAATAAATTGTATATGTACATTACTCTAATTACTTTATTAGTCAGTTGTAAGAATATGTCTTGAATTCTTATTAAATCATTAATTATATTGATTATCAATATTGTTTCAAATATCGCATTATTGCAAATTTTATAGTATCCACTTTCTGCTCCAGCAGTGATATTATATTTATATGTATGTATAGTAGAACATATGAGTATGATTTGGACTGTTTAAAGTTAAACAGCTGAAAACGCTAATAGAACGTAAATTCTATAATTATGTGTATATGATTGAGATGACTGTTGGTGATTATTCAATAAATGTTTGTATGTACATATTACAGTACGTCAGTAAAAAAGCATAATCATATAAGATAAAATCACATGGTTCAAACATACAAGTGTTTTATGAGATTTATACGAAATGTCACGTTTCTCTAATTTACGATTTTATTCCATTATAAAAGAAACTAAATATTCAACCACCTTTCCAAAAAATCCAATTTCAAGAAAGAATAGTGATATAAAAAATATACTTTATCAATATAGCAGAGGTTATGTTCACTTCTGGAAATTACAAAGACACATTTATCCATTATACAGATTTCTGGATACGCTTATGTCTAGACAAATTCGTTCTTTGTTAATAAAGACAAAAACAGTATTAAATAAGTATGACATTAATGATAGCAAAAGATATTGTAAAAAGTTAGGTATTATATCAAGTGGTTTGGGTATAACTGTAAGTTTATGTGAAGCATCAAATTTGCATAAAGGTATGTGTTTTTCACGTTATTGATTATATACAAATGTATAGTAATAATAATATGAATGAAAATATTTACTTTTGATAAATATTTTTGATAGAGAAAGAGTTCTTTCAAGCTGCAAAGTATGGTGATATTGGAAAACTAAAAAGTGTAAGTAGAAGAAACTCTTTGTTATATATATAATAATAATTGACAAAATATTTGTTATAGATTTTAAAATCTGGTATCGATGTAAATGTAAGACATCCATTAGGTTGGACAGCATTACATGTCGCTGCTATTAATGGGCAATCAAAAGTTATTAAACTTTTAATAGAACATGGTGCTGATGTTAATGTACAAGATGATTTCATTAATGTTTATGCAACAGCTATAGAGAAAGGGATGCCTGTTTTAGATGGTATATACATTACAATAATTCAGTATTAAATATTATACATAATTATATAATGATTTAAGACTATACAATTAGTTTTTGTAATCTTAAAGTTCTACAATCTGTTATGCTTTTATCAATTTTCAGTGCTTGCAACAAGGGAACAAGAATTTTCAGATTATTTGAACAGTAGAGCTACTTTCAAAGGTTTTACATCATTACACTATGCAGTATTAGCAAATTCAAAAGTTTGCGTAAAGGAATTAATGAATGCTGCAGCTGATCCAACTATAAAAGCTGAATCAGGTCATCGTGCTATGGACTATACTGTAGAGGGGGAGCTCAAAGAAATGCTCACAAAATATAGTGTGAAATATGATAATATGATGGAGGAAAAAGTACATATGTTTAAAGTCAAACTTTGATTTTTATATAGTAGTATATTTGACCCATATTTTTACCAAATATTGTAAACAGGAAAAGGAAGAGCGTCGTAAATTTCCGTTAGAACAACGCTTAAAACAGCATATAGTTGGACAAGATGGAGCTATATCTATTGTTGCATCCAGTAAGATTCGTTCTATATAATTAACCATCGATGCTAAGTAAATATACACGAAATTTCAATTGTAGCGATCAGGAGGAAAGAAAATGGATGGATAGACGAAAAACATCCGCTGGTATTCCTATTCTTAGGTTCGTCAGGAATTGGAAAAACTGAATTAGCTAAACAATTAGCTGCATATATTCATAAAAATAAACCAGAAGGATTTATTCGATTAGACATGTCCGAGTACCAAGAAAAACACGAAGTTGCTAAACTGATTGGTGCACCTCCCGGGTATACATTATATTTTTGTGTACCATGTAACATACATATTATTTGATTTGATTTTTTCGAGAAGTAATATATGACATTTTATCAATTAGATACGTGGGTCATGACGATGGTGGACAATTAACAAAGCTACTTAGGAAGTGCCCAACTGCTGTTGTATTATTTGATGAGGTTGACAAAGCGCATCCTGATGTATTGACAGTTTTATTACAACTGTTTGATGAAGTGATATCATTTTCCACATTAAATATTAACATATAATACTAGGAAACATTATACTAAAGGATAGATTTTAATTCCTTTCAGGGAAGATTAACTGACGGTAAAGGTAAAACGATTGAATGTAAAAACGCAATTTTCATAATGACGTCAAATTTAGCAAGCGAAGTAATAGCCGAACACGCACAACAGCTTAGAGAAGAAGCTCAACGGGTTTCAAAAATGAAACACGAACAAAATGTAGATATAAATGAAGACTCAGAACGCATTGAAATATCTCGGAAATTTAAAGATGAAGTAGTACGTATGAATTAATGTGTTAAACATTATTTTCAGCCCGGTTGACAAATAATTATTCGGTTTTGTATAAAATAATTATTTTATAGGTACGGCCTATTTTGAAATCACATTTTCGAAGGGACGAATTTTTGGGTAGAATAAATGAAATTGTATATTTTTTACCATTTTCTCAATCTGAGCTCGTCAAATTAGTAGCAAAAGAATTGGAAGCTTGGGCAGAACGAGCGAAGGAGAGACATAAAATAGAACTGAAGTGGAATAGAGAAGTTTTATCGCTTTTAGCAGAAGGATATGATACTCATTACGGAGCTCGTTCCATCAAATACGAAGTAGAAAGACGTGTCGTTAATCAATTAGCTGCTGCTCATGAACGAGGTCAATTGGGTATGTAATTTATCATTACTATAGAAGAATAATTTAACTTTGGAAGTTTTAATAAAATGTTTCATCTTGTACAGAAAAAGGATGTTCTGTATTGCTTAAAGTTAAATGGCACAAAAATGGCGCAAAAAACATAGCACTGTCTATTCGACGTAAAGATTCCAAAGATTTTATCGACATTTCAACGACAGATAATTTGACAAAAAATGTGAATTCTGCCTTTTAATATCCACAATGAATATGTTCTATGTGTGACTCCTATAATTATAAATAATGTAGTATAGTTTGACCCTATAGTGTACGTAAATACAAAAGTTCCAAATGTTTTGTATCATTTATTATAGCAAGTTAAATATAACGAATGTGTTTTGTAAAGCTGTACTATTTTGTTTGATATATGGCTATATTTTTCCGATCTTTAACTAAACAAAATGTGAATAAAAATGTACCATCTTGGGGTGTTAGGGACCCCAAAGCATCGGTGACGTTCGATATACCGACATTATGGCAACCGGGGTGTCAGGGACCCCGATGCATAGATGACGCTCTTTGCGGTAAGTTTGTGGAGGACTTATTCCGTATTTAAAATGAATGGTCAACGCTTCAATTGTGAAAATATATATTTGGAAATATTGATATAAAGGAGGATACGTATTTTTGCTTGAATTGATCTTTGAGGAATGAATAGTTACAAAAGTTATTCCAAAAGGTGGCGATGAGAATAATCTTCAATCTTCCTTATCGACAACGGCCGCCACAAGTTGTCGTGTAGTTTCCACCGTTTCTGTATAGATGGCGCCAAGATCGAATTTTAAAAGTCATTTATGGCGGTCTTTTTAAAATACAAGTTTGTCAAACGTTTATTTTGATAGTTCTTCGGTCTTGTAATATATATTTCTTGAACGATTTTGTGTTATGTTTTTGTTTCATTTTTCTACTTCTTTCGTATAGAATTGAAATGTACTATTCTGACGGAAATAATTAATTCTTTATTTGATATTGAATCATGAGATACATTACAAGAAAATATCGGTTACACATCACATTTAAGATACATTGTACATTCTTTACGATGCAGTAACACAGCAGACATTCTCGAAACGTTTAGAAAAGTCAGTTATGGGAACTGTTTCTCTGCCTTGCCCATCGCTTGCTTAGTAACGCTCTAAACCGCCTTTTTTTTTTTAAATCTTCAATTACTTTGTACGATAATCGTAACTCAACTACTATCATCGGTGGCCCACACGTTGGGTAATGTAAACGCGAGCTATTTCATGCTTTGCAAGGCAAATTCAGGTCCGACAATAGGGTGTCTATTAACACTTTGACGGCTGCATATTTCATATACGTACATGACACTTGCAAATTTCACATTTTATATTTAAAAGAAGTTCGTTGATAAGATTATGCACGAGGGTATTTGTAATGTAAGCCACAAAACCATCAATTTTCAGATTGCAATGTCAGTAAAACTCTATTTATCTGAGTAAAATTTTACTGAATGTCTGATTAATTGAATCCACAGTTGAATTTTAATTATCGTAACTATTGTTAAACATCATTCAGTTTATACGTACATTGGTGTAAATTGAAGAATAGAATAATAAAATGTTATTATTTAAACAAAAAATCATTGCTAAGAGAAGAGGAGTTATTTGAATCATCTAGCCTCTCAATACATTTAGTCCATTAGGTATTATCATTGAGCCAATGGGTACTATACAGGGTGTCCCAAACAACTGAGATAAGCTATAGCTTTAAAACGGTAAAAGATAGAAAAATTGTTACAAGGAGAAATTAAATGATGTCAAATAGAGCACTACATAATGCATGTCTTAGCACCAGAAGTAGAGGCGTATCAAGCATTTCGAAGTCATCTTTATTTGTTAAAACAGAATTGTATACTTTGTTACACATCAATTGAAGCGTGTTTTTATTCCTTACAAAAAAGTATTAAGGTACTTGAGTGGAAAATTGATTAGTTCAGAAGATATAGTAGGGGAAGATCTCTAGGCTCTCCCTGTCTCTCCCTAATATATCTTTTGAGCTAATTAATTATCAACCCAAGTACCTTAATACTTTTTTGTTGGGAATAAAAAAACGCTTGGATCGATACATAACAAAGTACAAAATTCATCTTAATAATAATTTTTGTACTTTCCTTTGTATCGTTTATCTGCACTTCCTTCGTCCAAACCAGTCATGCACAACAAGTTCGTATTTCTACGCTTTACGAAACGAACCGTAGGTTCTGACAACGTAGATCTATCCCTTTAGACAAATAAATTTTATACATATTTCCTCGATCCGACGGTAGATTTTGAAAAATCATCTCGTGTGCATGCCTTGTCGAAACATCGCTTTACACCGTATTGCCCGCATCCACATGGATAGAAAATGATAGATAAATAGAGTTCTACTGTAATATGCGGTATAGTAGATGGAAAGTAAGATAAAAAACAGTGAAGAGAAAAGTTAAGTATAAAAATCACGAATACGTGATATAGGTTGTCAAAGCATTGATGAAAAATTTTCAGCCGAAGTATTGAGTCGAAAAATGACAATAGGAGCACGATACACATATGGCGTTTACAAAGAAATTTCATTTTGTAATTTATTCGCGTTGACGAAGAAACACGAAATTCATGTAGCCTTTACGTATCGCGACAGTCATTACAATTACTTTGGAGTGTTTTCAATAGCGTGTTTAACAGTAACACACCCAAGATGAATATTTCATTACCAAGATATACATATAAGAACATCTTCATATATAATATAATTTGTATATGAATGTGCGTATATACATACATTTATGTATTACATATACGCTTTTTTTTTTTTTTTTTAAATATAAATACCACGTATCATTTGTCTGTGATACGTAGAATACAATAGAAATACTGTTAAGTATATTTTAAGCGTACGATTCGGAAAACGCTGATATAATTAAGCGTTTCTTCCCAGCAAACCTTGTAATTTTTTCCAACTTGTACGTTTCACGTATTCACATCAGTATATGTATAATACATTATAATACTTAAAATACTTAACGATGATCAACATTTAAATTTATATCCTCTGTATCTCCAGGTAACGTTTATTACATCGCATCCTCTCATTTTCTGTTCGACAAACAGATCAGAAATATTAATCACTGTAATAGACGTACGAGCCTGAAATATTTATAGTACGGCAGGTTCCTTAATCGAACTCTTAAATTAACAATAAATAGATCTAAGCTTTGGAATCTTCAAAATTATTAATATATGATATGACGAACTTTGGTCGGAAATGTTCACGTTATCGTTTAATATGCTTATTCATCCTGCGTGTTTCTCTTTACCTTCTGTTCTTTTTCTCAGATGTTGTATCTCAACGAGTACAAGGAAAAGAACGTAAAAAAGGTAAAATAAGTAGGAAATGTGTTCTTTGTCAGTCACGTTTTATCACTCTGGGTTATGCCTTGTGCAGTACGGTTTGACATGTACGAACGAACGCTCTACAATGTGCGGATTTATTTATTTTTTTTTTTTTCTTTTGCATTTCTCTGTTGCTGCTTTACGTATAGATAAATAGTTTACAACATGAACAACGATAACGGGGTTAAACGTCGTACTTATCGGAAGAGAATCGTTCTTTTAGGCTTTCAGTTTATTGTAAACTGTAATATGCACGGGCATTACGTACCTCTGACGCTTTACACTTCATTGAGGTCGGTTTTGTTGCATAGTACAATACTTAGGCCTAGAAAGTACATATGTATAAATATATCCCTCATTTTCCGTATTAATTTCAAACTATGATAAAAAATCATTAAAATTAGACAAACGTACATTATATTCCAAATGATTATTTCTTTATCCATTTCCCTACCCCCAAAATCTACGTACAAATCTTTCTAACGCGTTTAATTTTAATTACACAAGAAGGAAATAATTCCATGGTACTCTGTAACCTAAAGCATGCGCTGTATCCTCTTATCGTTTGTAATACGATTATCCGCTATCGTATTTGTTCGTTAGCACGAACAGTAATTATCTCGTTGATTGTGCAAGATACATTTAGCCTCTGACAGAAAAGTAAACTTGTAGCGTGAGAAAATTGTCACGTGTATAGAGAACATTTAGTAAAGATGCTTAAAATCGCGTGATCAAGAAAAATCATAAAAATCAGTACGTTGCATACGATCAATGCTGATTGGACGGTGATACTATCCGAAATCGGTATAAAAATGTTGATTTCGTGTACGGAAAAGCAATCGTATCCGAGTTGTCTAAAACGTAGGTTTCTGCAATTTTAGGCGATTTCATCGAATACACGCACAACTTCCAAGTTATAGTTAAAGACATTTACTCGTCGTTAGTCTTCGCTATTAAAGATTTCCAGGCGAAACGAAGAATATACATAAGGGAAAGGGAAAATGCCGATTAATCGGTATTCCCGACGTAGAGACAGCACGGTCTCGAACTGAATACGTAACAAACTTATGAAAAACAAGGTATGTAAAACGAGATATGATTGCCATATTCGAACGCGAATCTTCCTATGCACAAGTAGCAAGGTGATCTTATTTCGACGCCATGAATCGGTAATTGTACATGTTTACACTGGGTATATCATGTGATCAGAGATCACGGAGCAGTTTTATCGACGAAATATCGATAGGTTCGCGGGAATATTGAGATACATCAATTGTTGAAACTCGCTGGTACGCGGGTAATAAAAACACGGTGAGTGTACGTGCTCTTTTTGCGGTTCTCCTTTTCGTTAGTGGTCTTCGAATACATCCATAGAAGCGGTTTCACATATAACACACTGCTACGTTTGCTTACATTTTAACCAATTATTTACCCTATACGTTTGATTGTATATTCTCCATACCTGATCCGACTTGGACGAAACAAACGCGTCCATGATTCCTTCTTCTTTTCCTTTTTTTTCAACTATTTTTCGTCACGTTTCCAACTGGAAACAGAGTAAGGAATGAATTAGTGCAACGTGTGCCACATAGCAATGGTTTTTCTGGGCGATTGAGTCATATGAAGCCAGTGCTCTCTTCCTTGGCCCCCGCTCGCTTCTCCGCCTGGGATGATTCCTGTGGCAGGACCAACGATGCAGGATCCGACGATCAAGTTTCCCCCGATAAACTCGTTGCTCGAGTCCATCACGCATACCTTGAAAGATATTCTTTTATGGTTGTGGTGAAAATTTCATGGTAACTTTTATAGTCAATCCTATCACACGAATCGATAACTTGTAATAAATGGAATTCGTTCGTGGTGAATATGTAGCGTGTTCTTTAGAATGATGTTGCTACGAATGAAGGAAATTTTTTATTTGTTGAAAACGGTAACAGAAGTTACATTTCTACAATGGTGTTTTATCGAGTCGCGTCATAGAGAAAATAGATCATTCTACCGCGTTCGAACGATTCGATCTCGTTTATGAGATATACAGTATTGGAATAAATGGAATTTGTAAATGTATCAAACAGGATAAATCATTATTGTATTTCTTTGGGAAGAAAAAGTATTCTCTCTTCGATGAAATATCTAAAGCTGTTGAAAAGTAGCGATTTATAAAAGTTAGATAAAAACAATGTACAAATGTAAAAATTAGTAAGCGATGAATAAACGATGGTTAACAATTAAGAATTAAATTAATAATGATAAAGGATTAGGTTTCAGATTTCTTGTCTAATTTTCTTTCTTACAATCAGCTTGTGTCTATAAAACAAAACACGATTTAATAAAGGCTAAACGTTCCACTGTGCTTACCTCAATAGCGGATGATGCGAGTGTATTGACAGGAACATTAAAGTAAACTGCCTCGTCCCAAACAGGAGAGGTCGTTGCTTTTCTTACGGTAGTCTTCTTCTTCTTCACTCTTTTCTCTCCGCAAAGAAGATTTACTTTCACGAAGGAATCTAAGGTTTCTTTCTCCTGTGTATCAAAAATAGCATCTTGAATATTAAAACGTAACAGATATTCGATTGATTTTTTAAGCTTTTCGTTAGACTATGAGTAATTTTTTATTGTAGGGAAGTAAATATTCGGCTGAGTGGATTTTTCATTTGCTGAACAACTGTCCTAACGATAAAAAGGAAGACGATACCTGTGGTGGAAACAGATTTCTCGCTTTCTGAATAAGCACTGTCAATTCCTCGGCACTTGGCAAATAAGAGAGCGACAGTAGTACTTCTTGAATTTGTTCTGGTGGCTTTCGTTCGCGTTCGATCTCACCCCAAACTTCCTCGGTTGATGTAGGGGAGTCCAATTGCAAAAGATGCAGTGGTATCTTAACGGAACCAACTATGTCATTTCTAGAAAAGCGATCGTAATCGAGAACCTGTTAAACAGAAAAAGAAATTATGTTAATAAAACGTTAGTTGATAATTGATAAAAATTTTTCTACAATCGAATTTCACTATTGTAGTATCGTAGATTAGGACTTAGAGTAGTTTATATTTCTAAAGGCAGAAGAGGGCAGAAGGCAGAAGAGGAGAGGGCGGAATGGTGTGAAAAATAGTATAAATGAGGGTGCCTTTTTAGAGTGAGATAAAATTGAGTTGACTTTTGGAGAATGAAGAACTTTGATTTTGCGAGCTACTTTGATGTAAATTCCGTATCTTTGTATATCCTGTTCATTAACCTTTTTATTATATGTACGTTCTAATAAACTATATTCATTTATCTTACCACGCCATTAGTGAAGTTCAACAGTGTATTTTTGAAAGGATTCATTTTCAAGTTCATTCAGATTGAGCGTTGGACAGAATGTTTTATAATTACTTGTAAAACTAAGATCTTATCCTGAAGTTCATCGCTGCTGACAGGAAATTTAAATTGCTGATCGAAGAAGGGATTCGGTTCGTTACGGTGTATTTGAGTTTGTCGTTTCCTTGAATCCACTTCAGGGCTGAGTGTTAGTTTCACGTAAGGATCGTTGAATCCTCCTCGATCGCTTCCAGCCAGATCGTGAGCCTCGATCAAATGAACGTGCAAGTCCGATCGATCGAAGTCGTACTTGAACCGCAAGTGCAGACGACCCAAGCTTTTTCCATGTCTAAAATTACAATAAACTCGAGTTATTCAATTTTATCGATCCAATAAAAATTTTTTTAAATGAAATTTTATACGTGTATCATGCGGCTACTCTACGAACGCGAATCCTATCCACAGTTTCTATTTTTCATGAATTCCTACAACTTGGAAATCAATTATCAATTTTTGTATCCGATTGCTGTGTATCCGGTAATTCAATCCATTCATATGATACATGCATTCATATATGAATAGATCAATATATGGGTCATCGAATAATGCTTCGAGGTTGAATGGAAATGGATGATACGAAAATATTGCGTATAACATAATTAACGTTGTTATAACGGTGACGAATGCAAGAATTATTGGAATATTGTCAAATGAATGCGAGTAGGTTTTATTCAATATTTTCGTGACCGATGCTTGTGCAAGAAAATTGTATTTGTTTATAAAAAGAACAGTTGTAGGAATGTTTCTAACGCATTTAAAATAGAGCATATACCCGCGAGCCTTGAGGTAAAGAGGACCATCTCTTCGTTGATAGAGATCAGGTTGTATGGAACCCAACGGTGAAGCTGGAGGAGGTGGTCCACCATCGCTGCAATATAAAAAATTACTACCTTTCGTTATGATTAAATTAGTTATCAATTGTCTAAGTGCAATCGTGGTTAAAATACAAAAGTAACACAAAATGATATTTAATGATTTCAGCGGTTGAAGCAATTAAGCGTGAAGTTCTAAATAAATCAAACGGTGAACAAGCAAAATTAAATTGCCTGAAAAAATTGAAAATAATTCATTATCGTCGTTCAATCGTGCATTATCGAACAGTGACCAAATGGAAATGAATATTCAAGTAATTCTTCCTACCGATTGCTTCCAATTAATTTGTTCCTGGCGCTCCGTTAATTATGAATTTTTATTCAAAAATAAATACCTGATCAAATACAATTACAATCGAGCCTGCTCCTAATAAAAATATTTTGCAGGGATATAAATTGAAATACAAGGGGTATTTGAATTTCTGTTTAAAGTTCGCGATTGATTTACCTTTAAAACGCAGCGTGAAATCATTCGAGCAGGGAACGAATGAAAATTGGCTCACCTTCCGGAAGTGCGTGACGGCGGAATAAGAAGCGGTGATAGACTTCGGCCAGCTGATCTGGAAGCAACGTGGGCAACGCTTATCGTAGAACTACCACAGGAAGAGCTCACACCTGTTGCCAGAGAGGACAGTGAGCTCTGAGAGGGTGATGCATTACTGCTCAGAAGGCTTCCGGAACAACTGGCTGGACTTCCACAGCGTGCGTCTAGCGATGCTGCGCGACCAGGTGATGGTGATCTGTGTGTTTAACAATCGTGTCTATGGTGCACATGAATTTTATATACTATACACAGGATGCAACACAGCTTCGCCAGTATGTCCTATCTGCTAAAACTAAAACTAAAACGTCATACAACAAAAAGTTGGTAAATTAAAATCTATTCAAATGTTCCAACTAAATAGCATAACTAATTTAATTGTATTCTAAATAAAATATTTTGAAAAATTTCATTCGCATCGCGTGATTTCTACATATTAGATGTTTATGCGGCAACATAGTAATTAAAATCAATACGTGATAGTAAGTGTGCGTTGTATAGTTACCTCTGTATAGGAAAGATTCTATGTATTGTACAAAGGTTTTAATTAATATCTCGGAAACTAATAGGAAGCCGAAGATACCACTTTATATTTGGGCTCCCCACCCCCCTCCCTCCTTTCCCGCAAAATTTCATCTTGATCGGCGACCGGTCGTATTCGGAAATACAGCCGATTATTCTAGCCGATTAAAAGTTCATTAAACTATCGTTCGAGTATTGCCTGTGTGAGGGATTATTAACAGTCCACGAAAGATTCGGCAAAGGCCGGTACGTACGTTGAATACCGTTTAATATCTCTAATGGAAACGTTTAATTTCAACCACGTTTGTTACATGTTGGGAAGATATTAAACTATGTACACATGCAAATCCGCTACTTAATACGCGGTCGGTCGAGCAAATACGACGGGTAAAGGTACTGAAAACCTTAATGGTAATAGCCCGTATATGCTAATTAACTTCTTGACCTAATTACTGAAGTTCTATTAGCTGATGTAACTAGTTTTCAATTTTTTAATACACACGATGAGCCGCGAGAAACTCCCCGAAAGCATTGATTATTTTATGAAGTTTGTTAATTGATTCTAAGTACAGGCTGTATCATAGCTGGACATATAACTTCTGCGATGGGTTTGGTATCTACGAATAATACATACAGTTTAACTCGAATTCGAAATTTTGCACAATAACACTCCAGCTATACGAGACAGTTTAAAAAATTAAAAAGAAATTAAGAAATTTTGACTACAAATTAACTAAATAAATTTATCTTCGCTTTATCAAAATTTTAAAAGGTTTAGCGGTTTCAGAGCGGAGATAATTTTAATATATAATCTTTACACCGAGCTTTTGTTAAAGTTGCGACGAAAATCTTCTTAGGATTTTCATAATAAACTAACAGGTGATACAAAATTGTTATAACAAATTTTATTCTGTATCTGAGGTATATTCGAAAGCAATGGAATTTTTATTTGTAATTACAATAAAATGTCTACCCCTTAATCGAATTTAATTTCATTCCGAACGAAGAGGAAACATATTTAATGCTTCATAATAGTATTGCAAATCAGAGGGGAAATTTGGTGGAAATTTATCACAATTGCCAGCTACGATTTGCAGAGGAAACTCTGAAGTTTAATATACCCCGATAAAATTGTTGCTTTAAATACTTGAGATGTGATAATACTGTTTAAAACAAGTTTTAAGCAATTAGAGCAAATTATCTTTGGTATTAAAAGTTTCAGTAGTTATCGTTTGATTTTGTTCTCTAAACAAGATATGTAGGTTTACATATCTGTTTAGATAAACTACAACTGTTTAGATAAGCATGACAAGAGGCAACGTTATTTATGGAATGACCCGATATAATTTAATTAATTTCATTCATAGTAGAATAGGCAAGTGCAGAGTGCGTATAAAAGATATATAAAGTAACCTTGAACTTCTGCTTGGGGGGTAAGAAGAGGCAGCGTGTAGTGGATCGCGATGATGATGGTATCGTCCGTCAGGTCCAAAGGCTCGAATTTGAGACGAAGAACCACGATGAACGGATGGTCCTCCTGGAGGTCCTGGAGGTCCTGAAGCTCCTTCCAAAGAGCTTTGAGAGCTAACCGATGAATTCCTCGTGAATAATCGTCCCATGTTTCCGGTTCCGCCGCTACCGCCGGGGTAACTGCGACTTTGATGTGGCAATCCTCCTGGCGCATACGAAAAGTAGGTATCAAGTGGCAGACAAATAGATCATTGTCATCTTAACCCTTTGAGGGGTACACTTTTCTTCCGAAGAAATGATTGAAATCAAAATTCAAAAATTTTGTCGAAAAAATTGGCATGCGAAAAATTCGGAAAAAATATATGTTATAGTACTAGGTGTAGAATATATGCATACAAATTTTCAGAACTGTAAGACTTTTCGTTCTAAGAATAACCGAATTTATTCTGAAAAAGAACCGAGTTTTTAGTGTTTTAATTGTTTACAACTAATTATAAGTAAACACGTTTATACAGCTTTCCATGAAAATTATATAACTTGGAACCTCAAGAGTCTAAAAAGTACTCATACGTTGAAAAGATCTGCAAATTAATTCCGAATTAAAGAAAAAAACTAAAAACAAAAAGGTGGTACGAATACGTATCACTGGCCCTCAAAGAGTTCAACAATTTCTAGTTAATTTATTGATGTAACATTACTTTATTTCGGTGTGATTTTAATGACAAGGACTAATGATTTACCGACCTACATTCCCATAGAACTAAAAAAGATGATTTACTTGTCATGCTATACAGGCGCGTTTTGCATGATTTTGATGCATGCCAAGTAGCATGGATTATTACTTGGTACACATCACTGTTTTTCGAATTGCTATTCCAAACCGCTACTACAGAAGACATCTTTAATATTCATATCTTTCATCGATCAGTGGTTTTGAAAACAAGAACACATCAGGGATTTAGGTGTTATAAGTTCGGGAGGTTTAGTGTGCTCGCAATCCGCTTTCTGAGACCAGAGAGGAAGTGTTCTTACCCGATTCAACCACCACCGACGAACATGGTTGCACAGCGTGTTGTTCTTTAGCGATGTTGAATTCCTGGAACAAGAATTATTTATTGTTAATCTAAAGTTTGTACGATGAACTGATACTGATTGGATTTATTAATAACTTTACTTATTTAAGATGGAAAAGAGCTTACAAATGCGCAGATAGACCCATGGATACTTATGTAAATATTTTAATGTGATTTTGAGTTGCAACTTGTGTACTTGGGTAAAATAGTGAAATGTTCATTCTTTTAAATTCGCTACTCGCAGATCTGTATACTTATGGGCGACAAGGGAAATCGTTTTTCGAAAGCAGCTCGAAAAAATTAAAAAAATGTTGTTAAAACTAAGACTACAATGCACATTATTGCAGGCAATTAAGATATTGAGTAAATATACAGAGCGGACCATTTAATGGGAACATCTCTCCTTTATTTATGGTCTTATAAAACACATCAATTCATAAAAATTCATTTAAGAATATAGAGTTTCGACGTGTTGAATAACGTTTATGTTTGCTTGAAAAACATTCATAGAGCTGCAGTTTACGAAATTTGCATTCAAGAGGGACAAATTTAAATGTAGATTTAGATTCATTAACCTCCAGCAATATACAGTTGCGTAAAACGGAAGCAAATTAAACCAGTTGATTTATAATACTGTCATATTCGTATGTTACAAATTATAGTCGATTTAGGCTAAAATAAATAGTATTTCATATATTCGAATAACATTGAAAATTTTTCTCCAATTTCATTTTTTTCAAAATTCCACACAATTTAAAAATGACCTGCTGCAATACAGTGCTGGGATAAAAATGGCTCCACCGTAATACTATTGGGATGCGTATTATTCCAACAATGACAAAAAAAAAACAACGAAAAGAATATTTTTCTAGCATTTTTTTTTTTTTGAATAAATGTTTGCTAAACAAAAGTAATACTGCTAAACTTTCTACCTTCTCTTTCTAGTTTAAATATTTATTTTCACGTATGGCTTCATATAGTAGAGGATATTTCATCGTGGTGTTTGTTTTCAGTCAAATTCTTTCATTACTGCTTTTTCATTTCCTTTGATAGAATACATATACGGCATAAAGAACGCTTTTCAGTTGTTTCGTCACAATTCTATATCTACGGAAAAAAGTGAAATTGAGGATATCCGTTGCAGTTCGTTCGTCCATTCCGAATACCGTGGAAAAATCGAATAAATACCCGCGTCATAGCCGCAAAGAGTTCGTGTGCTTTGAGCACAGTTCGTAGAATGAAAGTTTTGAAATGGAAAAGAAACGTCAACGTCAACTTCGAAATTTTATTAAAATTCGTTGTAGAAAAGTGAAATTATCTTTATTATAAAAGCGATTTCCTTCTAAAATTTTCTAAATTAGTTTTCTTCGTTATCATTTCTCATTACCACATTTCACTTTAACGTATCGCCCACAATTATATTCACAGCTGTTGCGCATTTTCCGCCTCATCGTTTCCATCTTTTCTCCAACATTTAACCTTGTTCCAGTTTACCATGAAAATAGCGAGTGATTTAACAGCCGGGGGTAGAACGAATAGGTATATAGGTTTAGCCACGCGTTAATTAGACTATTTCGCTGCCGTCCGCGTGAAACCTCGTCGAAGGACGATGCGAATTCTACGAATCTTTACGCGTTTGAAGAGGAATAATTTTCAGCTGAATGGCCACGGCACGACGTTATACTGTTGAAATTTTCTCTCATTACTTTTCATCAATAAAGTGTTACCTTTTGCGAAAGAAAATGTTATGTATCAAAACGTTCAGCGACTGTGAGCGTGTGAAACGATTCACCATGGATGAGAAGCTTTCAATAATTCATAACGATTTTCATCCACGATTTATTCCCACCAACCGGTTGGCTGCCGTTGAAAATTATTCTTTCGATATATTCCAACCGAAAACTTCGCCAACTGTCGAGAAGTTTACCAAAAGCTCGATTTGAAGCATCGATGTTGCGATAAATTTTGGAAGAAGATCACGTCCCAGAAAATCGTATATTGCTGCGCGAAATGATATCCTTTCAAAGAGTTGCTAAAGTATTTTAAGAGAAACTTTTTCGAAAAATTCGAAGTATGTTCGATTAATATGTTAACGGTATTTGTTTGTCAAATATCGAACGCCATTACCTTATTCTATCATAAACTTTAAGCAAAGTCTCTTTGTTTCTACATGCACAGAAACTCCACTTTGAAACTTATAGATCAAAAGCTCTACCACTAACGCTTAACACTACCTTTTAAGCGTGGTTATAAAACCTAGAAGCCTCATAACTTTTGCATCAAACATTTACCTTTTACGTCAAATACAAAACAGCAACCTCAAAAAGATACACTTACGTTAGTATAAAACTGTTAATTGTTAGATAATACAAAATTGTCATCTTTCGTCAACTTCAAGTATGAAATTGCTATGGCATAATCAGTGGCATAAAAGTTTTGTTATTTCGAAATTGTCCTTTTGATGTGCAACAACCTGATCGTCAACATTAACGAATGCTACTCTATGGAGTTAACGAACTTGTACGGTGATGACTTTTTATCGATTAGACAAATCGTCTTAAAAAGTAAAAAAGTAATTGAAAGACACGGATTTTGAGTTTCGACACGACATCCTGACAAGGAGGGGCGAGGTCGCTGGAAGCTGTCTTTCATGGGTCGATACTCTGAGCAGCGCGAGCAGAATCCATGGTTCCGCCCAGACCAAAATATTCAATCTCTGGTGAATTATTATTTTTTTCTATCTCTGGTATCGATACCTTCGATTCGTCGTGAAGCCACAACTAAACGCCAGCACGATTCGTGGCTGGTCGAACGGCCATTTCTACCATCGTGGCGAAGCAACGGCAGATGGAAAAGCTTAAAGGTTTCAGAGTTTTTCCCTCTCTTTTTATTTGAATCCTTTAGTTACTCGTTTTTTGTATTCGAACATAGCGTAACTGAACTGTGGATGTGATTGTATTCAATTAAAATGTAACTCGATATTATTTTTTGTGTTGAATTTGCGTTCAATTGATTTGATATATCAATTTTATCTGAATTTTGGTCCGTTCGGATTATCAAGAAATTGCAACTAATTTTGCAGATTTCAATTTTATTTTATGCTCGAATAGGAATTTGAGTGATCGAAAAGTAAACGATCAAAAACGCCAATTAATTTCGTTTTCCTCCAATCAATCAAAACTTTCGATAACACTTTAAACGAGAAAAAAATATTGCTCATCGAAAAACAATAAACGAAATTCACGATGGAATTGCTCGTAAGTTCAGTTTGAATTCGAAGCAATTAAATGACATCAAATTTCAATGGAAACGTGAAACGAGATGAAAAAAACAAGGTTTCCTTGTTTTTTTCGAAAAATAAGAGAAAGTAAAGCAGGGCACGAGTGCTTTTTAAATAATACATTTCCCTCGGCGCCAAGGACATTAATTGTAAAACTGAAACAAGAAAACAGGGTTGTTCGTTGTCACGCGATACGCTTTTACGATTCGTTTCGATCCGATCGTTAAAAGTGTAGGCCGTCAGTAAAAATGAATTTCCAGTGTTCGTGTGTTCCACTGACAATGAATAGAGGATTTCTAACTTCGTCGCATGTAAGATGCAGTGGCCCGTATTTGGCTGGATAAAAAAGTTAACAATACTCGGGGGGCACGTTCGAAAAAGAATTCTCGAAACTTTCAGTTGGAACGTAAGGGACTCTTATTAAAGAATACAATAAAAACTTGAAACGACCCAAACTGTTTCGCATTCAGCTTACAGACTGTTCGCGACGTTATTGATGCCACTTTTGCTGTAAGTTTGAAAGTTTGTTTGAATACAGCGTGTCTAGAAGCTCTTGCTTTTATTGTATTGAAAACTAATAGTCGATATTTTACGAAATTACAGTTAGTTTGACATTTTATTGGCTGAAATTGACAAGTGTGTACGAGCTTGTTGCAGAATCTAGATTCTAAAAAGTAAAGGGTAAATCGGGGGTCGGCAAATGTTTTTTTTTTTTAATGGGATTATGAGCGAAATGGAATGTGGATTCGTACGTGAATTCTACGTAAAATGGAATTTTTTAAATATCTCTAAGAAATAATTCTAACATAATTTAAAATTAGAAAGTTACAAATTTCTTGCATCCAAAAAACAGAGTTAATATATTTTTAAATACGACACGATTTTACTATTTGTAAGTGTAACGAATAAACTTACCAAAGCAGGTATAATAAAAATTAAAAAAAAGATATGATATTACGTTATTCAACATCGTAGCTTTCCGAGTTTTTTTCCCCGTCTATGTACTTGACGTTTGCAATTAAAATTCGATAAATGCTCTTTTCCTCTATTTCACCATTCATTTCTATTTCGCGGTTATCTCATGAAATTACGGAAATAGAGATATAAAACGAGGGAGATGAAATAGGAGAAAAATGGATGGAAATATCGTTAACGAAGGGTTTCATAACGCGATCGAGTTACGAACACTTCACTAGCAACGAAGCTCGGTTAATTCACATAAAGTTCAAGATATCCTAACCGTGTAACGATTCCGTCTATTCCTGACACTGAGAATTGAAGCTTGAAATAAACATAGCAATTGCGTAAACAAGCATCACAGTTGATACCATCGAACCTACACAGGACCATCCACTCATGTGTAATAGCTTGTGCGTTTAAGCATACACGCCCGTGGAAATGCAATTTACATCATTATAGTGCGAAACGTACTACCATTTACCTGCGCTGAAAGCATCTTCTCCATTGTACAGATAGGTTCTAGTGCAATTTACAGCTACAATGTCTGCTTCGATATCTTGGGTTAATTTTAGACGCGATCATTGCTGGAATTTCTCATTTAACCAACGGTTCAAGTTAAAGGATTCGCAACCGAAAAATCTGAAACATGTCTAGAATATTCTAGAATTCTTTCAGATTTTTTGAATACCAATAAATAGGGAAAATATGGCAAAAACCGTTTTCTCGATTTTACCCTGTAACTACCCTCAAGGTTGAGATACAGGCTTGAAACATGGTGTATAA